AAACAATTACAACTTTTGGGATCATGGAAGGAGAAAGTTTAATCCGTTTTAAGGCGTGAATCTTGGTAACTTGAAACGTCTATAGACGTTTCTGCAAGCAGAAAATTACGTCGTTTCGTGGATCGTGGATCATTTTACGAGGGAACACGAGATTACTGGAATTCCGGTTTGATCGGAGTTTCTTAACGGTCCTGGATCGAGCTTCGCACTTAATTGACCGGTCGTCTTGTTGCTAATTTACGAGATACTTTGCAGAATTTGATGGTCGAATAAGTATGGTTTACACGAGTTGTCTGTGATTCGCGTTTTCATGGCGATTCGCCAAGAGCTTTTGCGTAATTTATGTCTGTGAAATTTACGATATCAGCGAGATTTGGTTTCAAATTTAATCATTTTGAGCAAACGACTACGATTGACTCGCCGTTTGATACTCTGATTTCGATCAGACCATCGCTTTCTTTCAGTGGTTTCATGGTTTTCCAGATTGGTAGATAATTATCGTGGTAACAGGACTTTCCCTTAACTTTCTATCGTGCGGACTTTTCGTGAGAAATCAACGTCTCAAATTCAACAATTTTTTGAGGATCTAATATTATAGATATTAAATATTATATATTGTTCTGGTACTTATTATTAAATTCTAAGTAAAATTATTTACTTAAATAAGATTTTATTGTGCTCCCAAAGATAATTTTTAACTTTGGAATCGATGTAGATCAGAAGGATATTTTTATAAAATGCTTTTCCATTTCTAAGATTTAACATGATTTCCCGTCTTTCTCCCAGCTTGTCGTATAATAGCGTCGTGAGAAAATCCACCTTATAATCCCACAATCGTAATCACGGTCATTACAAGAATATATGAGAACGTGCGAGGTGTTTAATAAACGGACATAATAGCGTTATCGACCGTTTAAACACGGAAACAACCATAATTCAACCCCTTTGATACTTTTGTTTTATCGCAGCTAGAATTTCAAACGTCTCATAGGTTCATCTCCGGTGTTATATTACTTCGTTTGCATATTATTTACAAAATCACCTATCATCAAATGTGCGTGCTATGCTACTCTTGCTCGAACTTTCCTATCGTCTACTTCCAAGGGATGTAAAAGTATACAAAAGTCGTGATACTTGGCAAAGTTACTTGGATAACTTCGAATATTATTTACGGTACTGTATGCATAATATCTTGACACAGCCCGCTGCATAATTCTTTAAACAGGAATATTTATCCCTTCTTGCTGGAAATAAGGTCATCTCTTACTGACGTATGCGCGTAAAATTTATTTTAGTGAGAAAATTTTTCTCTGACTCTTCTTAACTGTTAATCTTATTTTCAACTTTTTAAACGCAGATTTAACCATTTTCAGTCGCAATAAGAATACATGGCTCGACATTTATCTTTTTCAGAATTAATCTTATCAATTCGATTCCAGTGTATCTTTTAATGTTTACTTGCTTTTTCAACAATCAATAATGTAATTCAACGATCAACAATATAAGAATCTCTTATGGAATTTGCAATACATACATAGTACGTATAAATACATACAAAAGTACCGTGGTATTACCGCAGGCCAGTTTTAACCTTAGTCTTTACCACTTTTAGGTCAAGTTTTCATCATCGCTATCTATCATTCATGAAATATAAGTTGGCGACGCGTCTAATAAACATATAACCGAGTTCCTCCCGATCAAGGTAACTGACATAATTTCCTCGAAGGAAGTTAGCTACTCATATTTCAAAGTTTGAATGTAGTTCGTTGTTGAAAAGTACATTCCTGCCTGACCTTAAGCGGCGTTTCTCTGACAGAGAGCATCATCCGAAATTCCTCAGAGGCGAAGAGTTAGTCGCAGCGTGGAAATGTTGCGAGGGCGTGTATCTCAAATTACAAGGGAAAGCAGATTTAGTTCAGCGAGCAACCGTGAATCCTCATTCGCTGAAGATGTAACGAAATTTGTTAGACACGCGAAACTTTCCGAGATACTCGATTCAAGTCTACAGATTTGTATCTCGAAATTTGCCTTTAGTTGTTATTTAATAATTGCCTTCTCTCTTTCATATTAATTTTCTTTATTCGCTCTGACCGACGAGTATCGCGAAACTTCATCGATGTGCCGTTGATAATAGATTTATAGAGGCAAAGAAGAAACGATCGAAAGAAAGAACAAGTCAAATACCCTAACGCAAGTAATTTGTCTCTCCAGTTGAAAACCATAATAAAGTGGACTGATAAAATATATCATACACAGTAACAAGCCAATTTTCTTGATAATTGTCATATGATATATGTATAGTGGTAATAGTGTATCACAAATTCTACGTAATCCCGATTTTGATTAATTTACTTTATACATCTTGTACGCTTTAAGTGGTAGAATAGTATAAACATACTTCATTTCGAACCTCGCAAGGGACTCGAATTTAAGAGGCAATTTATTCTGGATTATATCCCACGGATCCAGATAAAATATGTGTGTGTGTGCGCGCGCGCGTGTGTGTGCGTGTGTGTGTGTGTATCAGAGAGAGAGAAAGAGGAGTGTTGAATATGTCGATTGAAGGAACCCCCGAGGAACCTTTTTTAAAGCGGAATTCACCATCTTTTCTCTGCTTGAAGCTCGACTGATGTCGATTTCACGAAATAACCTTAATTAATTAAGGAGAGCTCTCGAAACATTATCAGCCGGGCAAATATACAGAAAAGAAACAAAGGGCCTGGGGGAAAGACATAATCGGGGCAGGGCTTCGTAATGATGATTCGTCGTTTGCTTTCTATTCAAGAATATCGGTTATCGGTATTGAAGGGCGATGGTTTTACACGAAACCATGCAAAACCCTTAAGAGCTCTCAGAAAATTGAGACAAAACCTGAAGGGAGCTTGCTAATCGAACATCTCGCGTTTCCTAAAGTTACTTTATAAATTTTCATTATATGCAAAATATATACGTAGCTTGAGGGTTCATGAAACATGTATAGGAATTTTTATGACGGGATTGCGAAGAAATTTCGATCCCAAACGGGTGCATAATTCTCTATCGGACATTCACGTACAAGTTTGACGAAGGTACATCCGGCTAAACGATAAAACGATAACAGAGGAAGCAGGTAGCCTCTAAAGAAATTCATGGCTCGGGTGAAACGGCTTGCCTTATCCGAAATATTCTCGAAACGATTGAAGAAGTGGTTCCTCCATAGAGAGGCGACCACCCCGATATGGAAAGATCGTGATTTGTTTCATCGTCCACCTTCTCGTAGTATCCTCTATATTTTTATCTTTCTCTCTATAATTTTACATGTTCTACGCCGTATAATATTTTCTTACATTTCCCGAAGACTGTGGACTGTTAATAACGAGTTTTAACGCTTTGCTATTTTCAATCAAGAAAAATATAGTACCACGACGATAACGACAAAAGATACAGGAAATCTAGCATTACGTACATTTACTTTTAGGATTAGTACGTCCCATGGGAGAAAAACGCTTGGATACACGTATATTTTAACGTGCACACGTATCTGTCGAACTGTGAAAAAAGAAAAGTGTGTCATCCATTAGGAGTTTTGAAAGCTCGAGCAACAAGATTCCATCAATCAAAAGTAGACTTCCGATAGCTTTCTCTGAACACGCCAAAGATAAAACGCTCGTATATATCCGGTAGAAAGGGAAACTGTAACGGAATGACGAAGGTCGACAACCTCGACAGCTCCGTAATATTTTCTTTTCTTCTTCCCTTTTCCTTTTTTTCTTCTTTTGTGACACGCGGTGGTTAGTATGAAATCTAGGGTGTAGCAACCAGCAATAGTTACGTTATCGTCGTTGCTCTCTTTTCATCTTTCGAAGGGAAGAGAGAAAAAATGCAATGCAAGATCAAAAAAGATAAAAGGATTTCGAAAGTTGAAAGAGGTGGAGAACATTCGGTTTTTTATTTCCTCTTTCTTTTTTTTTTCAAACGAAAACGATAACGTCAGGGAAAATCAGGCGATTTTTCTAGATCTCGGCACAGGATTCTTCTGTTTTCTTCTCTTTCAAGGAAATATTAAATTAAACAAGAAATATATCAATTGTACAGTGACAATGAATCGTTCATTGACATGGACCGGACTTCTCTACGAACAGAATTTTATAATCTCGAAATTTACCGTGACTTGTAAAAACAAACCTTTTTATTGTAGTGCGCGTGCATGCGCCGTGAAATTCAACGAATCTCCGGTTGGATGGTCTCGTGTGATTCGATGGGAGCAGATAAAAGTTGTTTCCAACCGCAATGTATTCCATAAACACGATTCTCGAGGTTTCGCTCTTTAAACGTCGTGTGATAAAGCTGAGATAAGACCGCAGATCGATAGATAAAACGAGCATATTAGTCGGAGGTAGAAACAATAGTTTTCTACCGAGATTGAATTGATCGCGTCGTAACACGAAAACGTATGTCGTAACACAAAATACTTACATTTCGTATTTATAGCGCAATTATTTCCCATAGGGCGTCAATTATATGCTATTAAAATGTTAAATTATTGCCTTTTAACTATCAAATAACGTCAGAATCAGAGTCACGAAACACAAATTGATTTATGTTTTATATATGCGTATGTGTTTCGCTAGCCTTTACGCGTATATACATGCATATGTTCATCGATAATAGCTATATAAATGTCATCGGTTTAATGTACCGTGTGTACGGTTGTAATAAAACGGAATTTGATTAGGATTTTCTAATAGACTTTGTGTTTATTCCTTGCTGCATGATCTTTCAATACGACCAAAATCGGATCGCGAGTTAATCGGTTTAGCGAACAGTTGATCAATGTAATCAGATTATCGATTCATGCTATTGTCTACGGCTGCGGCGATAACTCATTATAACTACGTTTATAATTCTGATATTACGTTTGAGAACACTGTTATCTAAGAAATTATGTAAGAATAGCACACAAGACAAATACGATGATTCCAGATCGATAGATTTGTCATTTATTTATTTTTATTTTCCAGTGAGATTTATTGTACCGGAGAACTACTGAAAACTGTGCAGCTATCTAATATCTACAGCGACAGCAAGACATTCGTCGATCTTCAACAGATAAACGACCCTGAAATAACTCTCGCCAAGTAAGTTCGACCAACGATTTTTTTAACGCAATTAAAACTTGTTGCTATCGAACAGAATTTCTTTTAATATCGTAAACGTTCCATCGAGTGTCTCGTATAATTATTATCAACTCAGCATAAATCAGTAATAACATTTCATTTTTCTGAATAAAAGAATACACACAAACGAGACAATTGCTCGATATTTTGTGATCTTAAATAGTAGAGTGAGCTTCATTTCACTTAACACTAGGTTTACGGGACCCGTCAATTTGACGGATTTCGAACTTCGAAATGAAATATCTCAAAAACCAATTTTAACCATTTTGCATCGTAAATTAATCATTTCATCTAAAGAATTTATACACAAAATTATTCTTTCCTAGGCTTTCTAATTTTCGAAATCTGTATCATATGTAGTATACCTATCTCTACGGACCCGTCAAATTGACGGGTAAACGAAAATACGCATTTTTCTCTAAAAAATCGATTTATTCAAATTAAGTCAGAAAGGACAATATTAGGCTTCACATTTAAATAAATTATTAATAAATAAAAAGTTTTTTTTTAAATTATCACTAAAAAAATAATAATAACATTAACAGTACAGGGTAATCATATGTATTGAGCACATTTTTTGCAAATATACTGAATGTTGTTTGTGCATTTTCCGCATATGATCTTTTTGCAATATATACAATAATTATTACTTCTATATTTTTTGCAATAACCCACTTGGCAACTTTTTCGCACTTCTGACTTTGAAGGTGACAGAAATGAAGCGTCTGATCTTTGGCAAATGTTTTTCTTGTTTTCTCCAGCTAAGTCCTCGGCTAAACAAAATATGAATTCCTTTTTGAATAATTTCGATCTGATGCACTCTCTATATAATATCCACCCGTTTATCGCTGCCAAATCCAAAATATTGAAAAAGACTTAAAGGGGCCATCGGAAACCCCCTGCTTTCACACTATATTTGCGTGCCATTTGGTCAACGACGTCCACACCAAACTTTGTTTTATTGTAAAAAGCAATGGTTTCTGGAACACGATTATAATTATCTTCTCTTCGTACACCTGTATGTTTGGTGCTTAGAAGGAGGACTTTTACTTTAGGTTTACTTTTATACACAGTAAGTGTGCAGTTTTCTGATTTATATAAATCTGAGGAAAACAAAGTCATCTTGTCCTTTTTTTCCTTCGTTGGTTTTGCCAGTTCTCTTTTATTCGACCGGATCGTCCCAACCAAAGTTGTTTTTTGTGCTAGCAATTTTTTAGCTAGCTTGTAAAGAAATTGTCTGTCGTTATATTTCTGCCTCGTTGTAAATATGGTTCGACTAATTTTAGTGTTACAAACTCGCTCAACGGTATTGAGCATCGAGTTTCATCTTTCCTCATATAAGGGAAATCACACAAAATATACTTTGTTTGGACGTCAACTGCTAACCAAAATTTAATGCCAAATTTATGGGGCTTATTCGGCATATATTGTGTAAATCTGCACCGGGCTTTCGTTGGAAATAATTGCTCATCTATCGAAATATTTTCATATGGCTTATAACAAACCTGGCTATTACTTATAAACCTGTTCCATAATTCGGAAAGTGCAAAATAGTTAAAATTAATGCTATGGTTCTTGAGATATTTCATTTCGAAGTTCGAAATCCGTCAAATTGGCGGGTCCCGCAAATCTAGTGTTAATGTTATTGTTATTTTTTTAGTGATAATTTAAAAAAAACTTTTTATTTATTAATAATTTATTTAAACGTGAAGCCTAATATTGTCTTTTTATTTATTAATAATTTATTATTTATTAATAATTTATTTAAACGTGAAGCCTAATATTGTTCCTTTCAGACTTAATTTGAATAAATCGATTTTTTAAAGAAAAATGTGTATTTTCGTTTACCCGTCAAATTGACGGGTGCTCGTAGAGATAGGTATATACGAAACACCCGTAAACTTAGTGTTAAGGTAAAATTCCAATGTTCCTTCTTTCTTTCCGCGTAACATGAATAAGCGGCACAAAGCCGTCTGCAATTTACGATCGCTCCGAAAACGAAATCACGGTGACCAGACGCGTTTTTAAATTGTTCCTACGTTAAATCACTCCGTTTACTGGGACTTTTATAGTATCCAGTTTACGATACTCGGCTACGTTCGCTTTCGTCCACTTCCATCGTAGCGGATTACTCCGTGAACTTATCCTATCGTCGAATGCAGCCCAATTCGATCTTGCGATAACCATATCTATTAAATAACCGCTACTGCAAGCGAATAAAAGTTTTACCCGATAAAATAACAAGTACTTGGGGAAACTATAAATTCCTGCGATTATGAGATAGCTGAAACGTGAAATTTTTAAGATCGTTAAAATTAATTGTTTCGATAAATCTATCAGCAGTCCCCAGTTTTCTAAATATTGTCCTCTTTAACAATTTTCCCTTTCTTAACTCTGCCGCGATTCTGGAATCTTCGATATTTCAATACCTCTGTTTTAATTCGAACCAAGGAAAGCATTTTTAACATTTTAAGAAAATTATTCACATACGATGGAAACAAGTAATCACGCGTATCAATGATTCTTTCAAATCTTTCTCAAGTTGAAAGATTTCTCAACAATGGAAGAATACGATTCGGTTGAAAACGACACAAAGCTTGTTGCGGCGATGAGTGCACGATCAATCAATCTTTCTTCTCCAGTCAACGATGAAACGTTCTCACGACATTGCGTTGCCACGAGAAAAAAGTTTGGAAATGCATAAAATTCTTACAATTCGCTACTTGTAGAATGTGGAAGAACGTATCGAGAACTATAGAACGTCTGCACCTTTTCGCAATTTTCTTGGTGATCAATTCGTTTTCCGTGGTCAACCCACCGGCATAAAGCGAACATCATTTTGGGCGAATGTCTCGTTCGAGAGATACGGTTGGCAATTTTCGCTGGCTCGAACGAAACGCGAAATTCTCTCTCGTTTTATGAGCATTGTAAAGCGAATTCGGGAAGAACGTAAAGCTCATCGTAAGGTTAGTGTTAACGATCAATGGAACTGATCGTTCCTGTATCAGGAGCAAGGCTAAATTATGAATATATTAGATGTAGATAAAAGTTTTATTTTATGTCTTATACGTTTCTGCGAACAGAAATATGTAAAATGGAAATTTATAACACCAGCATGGCACTTCAATTACGATCTCATCCATTGCAGGTCATTAATTATTAGACTGTGGATTTTTATGCAAATTCATACTTTTGAGAAACCCAGTTAAAAGATAGAACTTTGATAGAAAATTGGTTTACCTACTAAATATTATGGAAACCACTATACTTTGTATGTTTTTTATATTTTTTCATATTATGTGTATTCTGTGTAATTTTCCACATTCCAATTTCTCAAAAGTGCATAAAAAATCTGCAGTTTAATAATTCTGGAGTTAAGGAATGCTATTTTCTCTTAAAGCGATCTTTTAATAAAAATGAATATTTATCATCAGCATTATACTAGTGAATCTTTCTGATAGATTTTCTTTACATCTCATTATTATGATTGCCTAACTAGACGATCGTGTTTCTTTTCACTCCCTACAGCTTCTACGAGTTGATGAAAGAAACAAACAACAAACCGACTAAAAGCCAGCTGACTCAGTATGTTAATGAAAATTTCGTCGCATCGAACGAGCTAGTAAACTGGACACTGTCAGACTGGACGAATAATCCCTCGATCTTGCAACGCATCCAAGAACCCAAGTACTACGAGTGGGTGAAAGATCTGAACGAAATTTGGAAGAAATTGGCGAGGAAGGTGAATCCTGAAGTTGCCAGGCAGCCGGATAGGCATAGTCTGATTTACGTGCCCAATGGTTTAATAATTCCTGGTGGTCGTTTCAAAGGTAAAATAAATTTTCCAATTTCTAATACATCATACAGATTGCAGTAACTTTTATCGCTAAAGACCTGCTAAACATTAAATTATTTATTTGTCAAAAAGTTACTTCGTTTAGTAATTAACCGATCATCTCTTTTTATTTGCTTGTAAACCATTACATTTGCAACAGATATTTGAATTTTAGTTTTTAACTATGCCTATTTTGTAATTGTAATGAAGATAAAACTTGTCGTCCATTGTACTTTGTGCAACTCGATACCATAGGTTCAGCTGTATGTTTCACTCTATTGTATTTCATGTTTAACATATAATCCAATTGACCCGAACGATCAGCTGATATACGACCGCCAGCGAATATATTAATAATAAATCACGAACGGTATGCAAATTAAGTAGCGGTACAAAGTATGGTATTCCGAAGTGGTCAGTTTTGAAACAAATTACCAAAAATTTGAAATTTTCACCAATGCAAAAATATACTTGATTTAGCCCCTATAAATCGTAAGATTTTAAACGCGAATCTGTAAAAATGCCAGAAGTACTAAAATATACTTTGACAATGTTTTTTTATCCTGACAGAGTTTTACTATTGGGACAGTTACTGGGTGATTGAAGGGCTACTGTTATCCGACATGTATCAAACTGCCAGAGGAATGATAGACAATTTCTTATACATGGTGCAGAAATATGGGTTTATACCCAACGGTGGTAGAATTTATTACCTCATGAGGAGCCAACCACCCCTAATACATCTCATGGTACGTCATACCTTTCCATATTGACTTTAAACTCGTTTTCCTCTCTCAACCGTGTACATATGTACGTAGCATCCCAAATATGTAGAATCTATCAAATCGCAAACAGATTCGTTCTTTTCTTTTCTTTTTCTTTTCCTCTCTTTTTTTTTTTTTGTTTTGGCCCGTTAGCCATCGTTTTAACAATAACAAATATTTCTCATAATAATTTAAGAGAAAAAATCGTGCAAAATGTGATGTACGAATAAACGAACGATGCAATACACGTAGTTCGCTTAATTTTTGTGATTAATCGTAGCAACTTATGCATTTTGTATTTTGGAATTTCTGTAAAATTACGTAACAGGTAGCAGCCCCCTCGTTCTACTCGAAGATTTGTTTTCCCCCCGAAAATTCGCTATAACTACGAATCGACGAAAGGAATTATTTTTTTCACGAAAAATAAATCTGCTCGACCGCCAGGTCGAGTGGACGCCACTAAACGATAATGTTGTTTGGAATGTCAATTAGCGTCGGTTTTCTATCTCATCGAGACATATTCCATCGAATTTGAAGGTCATTTGACCGCGGCAGATAATAGCTTGTCCTTAGAAATTTCTACGAGCGACGCGAATGATACAGCATCTGAGGGTTATAGTCGTCGAATCCTGCATTCAGTTTGTCGCAGAGACTTCGCGGGAACAAGAATTTTAAAGTTGCCTGAAACTCGACTTCCTCGAGGCAACATCGGCTAAAAGTTTTCGTATTTCCTTTCCTATGGTGTGGCGAGACTAGCACTGGAAGATTTCCACACAATTGAGTTGGGGAAACTCAATAGTCGGAAAATGTCTGTAGTTTAAGACCGAGATCGATATAACCATAGTGGTCCTTTCATAGTGAAATTGTTGAATTTTCCTGTTTCTTTCTCTCCTTGGTGCAATGGAGTACCGTGAAAAAGATTAATATCTCGCGGTTGACGAATGTCGGCTCGCTGCTATTATTATCGGTTTTGTTGTAGGTATAACGTTGCAAGGATTGAAATGAAAGAGAAATTAAGTTTGTCGGACTTCTGTTATAGGGAATTCAATAAGCGAACTTGGAGTCGAGTAATCTTAGTCGAACAAAGGATTTTTTAATTTAAAATTCAATTTAATTATACAAGAATGGTGAAACATTTTTTACCGCTTACCTTGACAAATAAATTTGATATTACCAAAAACAGAGAAATAGAAGTTGTTTGCGCAGAAGCACGTGAACCGAATAACTTGAACAGGTCTTTGCATTTCTAGGAAATAAACGCGGCCTTTTATAAAAATGAGAAAAAGAGGAAAAGAAATATGGTTCGTGGCGAAGAGTCTAACTCGTGAAATTTAGAGTCACTCTCGGTGCACTCGTTTGAATAAACTCAGAAAACCCGCGAGAGCCACGAAAATCATGCTTGTGCAAACTCTTTTAGTTCACGCGGAGAAAATTATTTTCCTCAGCGTATGAAGATTTCAGAATCTGGTAAAAAGATTGCCGTGAATGTATACGGTTCTTCCAACCAACTCTTTGACAAGACGAAGAGCATTCCTCTTGGAATTGTACTTCGGATATTTCATTTTTTATTTTCAGAATCTTTTAAACTCGATCGAGATAAAGAGGTTGGTCTGAAATTTTTTAACGTGATCTCTGTTGGATGTTTCAATTAAAAATATCGAGTCGTTTTACCAGAAAACGCTAATCAAGTAAGATAAATTTGATAGACTTTAATTTTTATAATTTTAAATGTTAATGATTCTTTGTAAAATTCGAAAACGGAAAATCCAGAGATAAGATAGTTGACGAGTTAATGTATCAAAATAAAAAAGTTCAGGTAACAGTGCTTTTATGGCGGGAAGAAATGTTTAGTGGAACAAACCCGCTAGCCAAGACTATTGTAGTCTATGACGCGCGTTTCGAAACTTTGTTCCATAGTACCGCACTCGAAAAGTTCGATACGGCAGAATTTCTACTTCCAAATGTCAGCCCCTCCAATGTGTTTTCGGTAAGAATAGTCTGATTGCAGCTACGCCTGTTTATTCCAAAGATACCGAAGTTCTGAACAACAATCGCAAATATCGCGGAAGTTTGCTGGACATGGACATATACCAACGTTTATAAATTTCGATTTTGCTCGATTTGTACTGAAGGCGCCCGAGTAGCGCTCAAATTACTATAGTAACCAGTTCGAATACTTTGATCATTCGTAATTCGAACTCAAGAAATTTTAAATAACTCTAAAATATATATTAATTTATTACATATTTAGTTATGTATATATATATATAATATATATACATATTATATATATTTAAATATATATTTAATATATTTTTATATTTTATATTATTTCTTATATAAATATATTATAAATATATATTTTATATTTTTTAATATATATTTTAAAAACTTTTGAAATAATTAAATGACCTTATAAAGATTGACGTCTGCAAGTGTCAATTTTGTTATTGCATAGTAGGTTCTACAAATGAATTCTACACTACAATTACGTTCTGTAAAAGATATTGTACATATAATAATGTTTGATTTTGACTGATAGGTATCAAAATACTTGGACTTTACTGGGGACTACGATTATCTGCGCAAAGTTATACCGACCTTGGAAAGTGAGTTTGCTTTCTGGCAACAGAAAAGGATGATCGACGTAAAAAAAAACGGAAGAACGTACAAAATGGGGCACTATGCCGTCAACAGCACGAGACCTCGACCGGAAAGTTACAGGTTAATTTTTAATTTCATTTGAGATCGTTTTGGATATTTACATTTCGTATATAAGCATGCATGATTCCTAATCTTAGATAACGAAAACCACGACGTTGCCATAGATAAAAATACAGTTTATCTTCCATAAGATCTCGAATGTAAACTTTTCCATTAACGAAGTATTTAATTCGATAAACCGACGTGTTTTTTTTTTAATGTATGTCATCTTAAGTTTGATCTACTTTCTTCCAAAGATAACGACATGGCTTAGAATGGAGTGATCAATATGAAATAACATCCTACACGTCAATTTTATTGTTTCAATGTTAATGTATAGAAATGAATTAACTTTCGAAATGGATTTGCATAGTGGTAAACGAAATTACATTCAAAGCACGTACACTGGTATATAAGCTTCGAATTTGTTACGACAAATGCACACCCTGAAACTACAATGGAAATTATTCAAATGTTTCAGCTCCTTAGAACTGTTAATATGATGCGGCATAATCAAATGCAAATAACGGATTCACGAGTTATGGCCATATTCATGTTCCTCATACATGAATTTCGAATGCAGTTGCGTTCAAAGTTTGCCAAATTTCTGTTTGTATTTCGCTCACGTGGAAACGATGATCTTATACAACTTAGCATTAGGGAGAGACTACTCTGAAACTGCTATACCTTTGACCTGATTTACATTGATGTTTGGTTTACGTTGTCACGACATATCGCGAATGATTATGATACGCGACGCGTAGCTGTGTTTACAGTGAAAAAATGTTTGATGGAAATCGAGGACTAGCATTTTAAATTTTGATCGATTGCTGAAAAGATGGTTTTGTTTTCTCAGTAAAGTATTATTGGCGATTATTTATCAGTTCAAGGAAATTCGTGAATCCGCCAATCCTGTCACCTCGGTATCTCTCGATTCTTCGCACTGTCGGCATTGGAATTTTTTGATTTTTCGATCTGTCCTTCTGGGAATCCTTTGATTCCTCGTTCTTTAACCTCTTGATCCTCCGATCCCTCGATCCTTCGATTTGTCTATTTTTACTCATACATGCGTGTACTTGTTTTCTTTTTTTGATATCAGGGAAGACTACGAACAGGCGCAACTACTGCCCGAAAAGTCTCGGGATTTCTTCTACAACAATATAAAAGCAGGCGCCGAAAGTGGCTGGGACTTCTCCAACAGGTGGTGTATAGCGGACAACAATAACAGAACGCTCAGTTTACTGAATATCTCTACGCAGCACATTATACCTGTCGACCTTAATGCGATTCTGCAACAAAACGCCCGGCTCCTCGGCGAATTTCACAGTCTGCTTGGAAACAATGCGGTAAGCCGTGGAGCATTCATTGCGAAACCGAGCTTTGTTCAAATTCTCTCCATAAACTCGCCTGCCCGATGTTGTTCTAATATATTGGTAGAGTTCGAAGGGCTCCAGAGAAACTTATATGACAAGTGGATAAGCCACCTGCCATAATCTGATTATTTAGAAATTTTATCCCAATGTAAAGAATCTAGAGAAATTATCATCGTTAGAAATGTGATAATCTAAAGACAAATCTAAAGATACATCTAAATAACCTAAAGAAGAATATCTACAAAAATTAGCTCTAGAAATGTTCTATTTACTGGAGTGAGATTATCATAATTATCCAATAAAATAGGATTATATGCAATACACATACATAGAGGAGATTTCTTTACAAACTAACGTTGTTTGTTCATTATGTGCATAAGTAGTAGTTTGTTCTTGAAATATGTAATTAAAAATTCTAACGCCATGTCTAGTATATCACACCTCGTTAAACCCGAGAGTGAAATGAAGAATGAAAATGGTATGCTAATTAAAAAAAATATGTGAAAGGAACGTGGACAAAAATGTTAGTGGAAAACGTTAGATAAAACTGATTTCTATGCAAGCTTATGTAATATTAAATTTCTCGTGGTTGAGGTTGGTCGATATAATTAACATAATATTATAAGATCGTTATCTGAAACTAATTGAAGGGGAATGTGTTCGCACTCGGTTAAGTAAATTTAATCTTCTTTTGCTTCGCACTCTTTTTCTGATTGCAACCAATCTTTCTTGTAGAAACTGTATCCAATTTCTCGAAATACAATAAGCTTTATATAAATAAAAAACAATAAGCTTTCTAAAGGTTTCAGTCATCTTAGGTCTTGTTCAACATACAATTGTACATACATTCTTTTTCTAGATATAAAATGTACAATGCGATGTACATATAGTATGGTATTTTTTAAATCCGCTTCTTTTATGATACACACGATACAAAAAGACGAAAATAATATATAACGTAGAAGTCAATAAATATTTATATAAATTTTGTATTAGATTTATATTAATATATAAATTGTAATTTTCTAGAAATCCCAGTATTATCATAAAGTAGCGTCGCAACTCCAAATGGCTATCGACAATGTTCTATGGAACGAAGAAGAAGGAACATGGCTGGACTACGACATGAAGAACGCGAAACCTAGGCACGCGTTTTATCCGTCGAATCTTGCGCCACTTTACACTCGAAGTTACAATCGCTTACAACGCGAGCGCTACGCGTTATCCATTGTGAAATATCTCAAGACACAGAATATCGACACTTTCTTGGGTAAGTTTTCGCAATTAAAAAGTCGAAGTCAGTCGCATAGGCTTTTATAAACGTTGGGTACTTCAAAGTGGAAAGAAATTTAACGAGTTTCATTCGTGTTTCAACCTTTTCGATGAATAATGGCACGCATCTTCTGGTATCCTCCGCTTAAAAGCGGAAGGGGAAAGCGGCAAAGAGAAAAATACGAAGAATACTTTTGAGGGATTTCACGGTTAAAGGTTTAAAAGTTTAAAAGGGAAGCGATGAAAAGGAAAATACAAAGGATGCTTTTCGAGGATTCCGTGGTTAAAGGTTATTTCCTATACGAATGAAATCGAATGGAATTGCGATAAGAGATAAAGAGTTGCATGCTTTTGCGTCTTTGGTTACACAAAAAGGAAAACCTTTATCATTCGTAGAATGCGCGAACAGTATTGTTAAACGTCGGTTTAGTCGCACACTGCATGTCATGCATCGAATATAGTTCCCTAAATTCTTTCTCTTATTTACTGTGTATATTTAATTTTTGCGATTTCGTTCGAAACGGGAATATTTCATTTCTCCCTGCTCTACTACGATCATAATGAATTATTCGCTGCATGAAATGCACGTCGCTCTAAGCTCTGCAAATTATCATAATTAACAATTCAACCCGCGATTTCTGGTTAGTTACACATCACATTCATGCCGACACACCTTCCATTATCCAGCTTAACAGCTTCGGCTTTAAGCTTGAAAGTTCCCCGTTTCCAATTTCCAGTGGAAATACGCACGAAGGAACTTGAAAATTTTTGGCAAAAACCATTCGGCAAAATAGTAAAAAGCATGCCTTTGATATTGCTTTTTGTTTCACATCGATATTTCAATACCAAGATAGATAAGTTTAAAGCGTTTGCACTTAAGCCACGAGGGATGCTGAATGGATTGGATGCCTAATCATAGCCTAATTCGCAGAAGCGTAATCTATATTTTCTTGTTTGGAGCGTACGTATGTCGGTTTGCGGTGGTAGTAAAAAGATGCTTATATGGCGTTTGTCACTGACCACCCTACAGGTAACACACGTGAGACAGGTCAGTGATGCGTGTGAAAACGAGAGGTCCGTACATGGTGCGAGACAGATACAAAAAAAGAAATGCACAAAATATTGGCTCGCTTTAACGACGTTATCTCGGGAACGAAGAGTCATATCGACACGAAATAGGAACGATTCTAAAGTGAAAGGTTTGCGTTTTCTTACGAAGAAGTTTTATCAGAGTCGTGTAAGTACTTTGGAAACAGCGAGTGGTTAAAGTTCCAGTAACTTTAATAGCTTCAATATTGAAGATTCGCTGGATGTTTTCGATGTTTTGAATTCTATTTAATTTACTAGTTATCCTTTTTATTTACTAATATAGTTATGTTCGGTGAAACATGTATTTCTGGTTACAGTTTTAGTTACGTGTATCGCGCTATAAAGATTTTAATATAACATCGTTAACGGTAAAAAAGTGCAGGACATTTTGTTCCTTCATATATAGATGTAGCAAATTATTTAGTGGCTAAAGGTAAATAATAGCTTCTGCGAGTTATCGTCATAGAGCTAAGGCAGCTCTATTAAATTGAAATTATTACGTTCATTTAAGTATAAAGGCAAATAAGGTTAATAAGACCGTGTTGATTAAACTTGTTTTCATTTCTTCCCCTACAGGAGGTACACCCACATCATTAAATTACACGGGAGAACAATGGGATTTTCCGAACGCGTGGCCACCGTTACAATCATTTATTGTAATGGGTCTCTACTGGACAGGGGTTGAGGAAGCGGTGAACTTCGCCCACGAATTGGCATTTAGATGGCTTGGCTCCAATTACGCTGGCTACGTAGAATATAAGGAAATGTTTGAGAAGGTAAGATAAATATACATATCGATAGACGATTTTCTTGAAAAATGATGGAAAAATATACGAGCTCGACGTAAAAACAAGTAACTCCATAATTCCTAAACAAAACTGAATAGATAATATTTTAAGTTTCTAAACTTCTGAAGGAAATCGGTGCACTTCTTGAACAAAAATAAAAAGTTGTTACAATATTGTCTATTCTCTTGTATTAGCGCCACATTTATTTATCTAGATAAGAACTCTGTAAATTTTAGAAAGAACTGTTGTTTTCTCGGCTTCCTGTCGGAATTTTAAATCTTAATTGTTAAACCTAGTTCCAACTAAAATTAGGAAGAAAAAAAAAAGTAATACACATCAGACCATGACTCAGAATATTGAAAGAGCCCTCGCTAAGAGTGATTTAATCAAAGCACTTTTTCACAATATCTGCGATAAAACACGAAGACTTAAAATAAGACAGTCCAATCTTTTCTACTCGAGCATAAAAATGTTGTCCCGTAAAGCACACAAGGAGAATTCTCACACGTTGAATATCACCAAAGTTTTCATTACTGTCATGACGATATAGAACATAAAATTAATTTCAATAATTCTTGGCATGGATCTGCTACAATCTCTCCGTTCGCGCTTCGCTTTAAAATAATTCCTGCATCAAACAATTTTCTGGATAGAATAGAGAACATATTCAACCTTTCCAATTGAATTTTACGTCTTGTTTTGATTCTGAATTTATTTTGATTAATAATTGACGGTGAAACAGTGAATGATATTAACATGCCATATTCAAACTTCGGAGGTACAACGTTCCATTTGTCCCAACCAAATACAAATAGACACAACCTGTTCAATTTCGTTTCCATAAACGAAGTTTCGCGTCGTTTTGTTGACTGACATACGTATATCTGGCTCCAGAAAAGGGTCTATCAGATCCGCAAAGATAGATGCATAAATTCACGTTCAAGTATTCTCCCTCCCTTCTACCCCTGTGAAAGAAAACACACTGGATGCTCGTATACGTTCGAAAACGGAATGAATCACTGTCCATCATTTTTCACCCGTGGCTATGAATTTTCACGTAGTCAGAACCAGTCAAGCCTCGTCTCTTTCTGTCCGTTTTTTCTCCCCTATACGTTTCGCTCCTTCCCTCTTTTTGCCATCCATTTTTATATCACACGATCGCGAAAAAGATACTGGAACCGACCGCAGGAAACATCATAGACTAGAGAACCATGGAACGTCCCATACCTCATTTCGGCCATGATACCGTGACGCAGAGGGAAATTTATGGAGCTTGTTCGCAACGGGCAGCTTACCGATGAAAAATATCGATACGTTTTTTGCCACGCATTTCTTTTTTGCACGTCGGGCAAGACAGTGCCAAGCTTAGGCGGCTGTGTTTCAAAAGTTTTCTTTCAACGGTTAACCGGTTTATTGATTCGAACATTGTACACTCGAAAAAATTGCGAATTGTTACTCTCGCCTAGCGAAAAAGATAAAGAAAAAGATAAATTTGCAAACCGGTAGAAATTTTTCATATACAGGGTGGTTGGTAACTGGTGGTACAAGCGGAAAGGGGGTGATTCTACGCGAAAAAAGAAGCCGAGAATATAGAATAAAAATTTTTCGTTTGAGGCTTTGTTTTAACGGCACGTTATAACGAATCTCACTGTAAATCGTTATCTCTATGGAAAAATAAAAAAATAAAAAAATAAAAAAAAATTTTTGTTCTATATTTTCGACTTCTTTTTTCGCGTAGAATCACCCTGTATATTTTTCCCGAACATAAATCGCTTTTGAAAAAAATATAGGAACACTCAAACTTTGTAAAATTTTCATTCTTTTAAGATTTAGAAAAGGGACTTAAGATTTAGAAAAAACCAACTGGTCAAACAAAAAATTCAAACAGTCACATTTGAGAAAAAAGAATGGCTAATTTTTTTCAGAATAATCGACTGTTTTTTACGGAGACTGAAATGCGCGAAATTTCTCAAACTTTTCGTCTACGTTAGTTGATATTCTTTCAGTTTATTTCGATATTCCACAATTTCCCATTTTACGCGTAAAATTTTCAAAGTAGAATATATTTCTCTATACATCTCCGAATCAACTTCCCAATAGGGAATTCCGAGGTAATTAACTGACATACATTATCGCTAACTATAGGCAGTTAACACTGATAAGTAGAAACGCAAAATTGAATCGCAGTTAACGACCAAGATCGTTACTTATTATAGAGGAGAACGGAGGAACTCTTTGTATATTCAATTCTGTGAACGCATATTGATTTCTTCGTGTGAAGTAGTTCAACGACATTGTCGAACCGTGGGGACAAAAGGAAATAACGAGTGAAGGAGAGAAATTGAGATACACGTAAAAGAGTCAGATTTTCGAACGTGTCAAGGACGGAAAATTAACGATAATTTAAAACATTCGTTGGAAAGATCGAGTGTGCCTCGGGCTATTCCTTATTGTAGCTGACAGAAAGGAATAGAAATAGAGAAGAAAGAGTCGAATGAAAATAGAGTAGAGTTATATATGCATACTGAGAGAAAGGTCTTCTTCTTATTGAAATCTAATGATTTCAAAGTCTTTAGAAAACACAATAGCTTGGAAATTTCATCCGATTGAAAATTGAAGATTTTCTAATTGCTGTGAATTATACGAACGGCATGATGGTATATAACGAGCGTATAGTATTATGAGTATCATCTTTAAATTGAAAAGCTTTCCGTTGAGTCGAGTTGACGTTCGCGTGGTCTTTGCCGAAGCTATATCGAATCGCGAAAGAAGATTTAATACTATACCATGCCATACTATAATTGCAACGTGCCACGATCGACAATAATTCTGAATTACATTTAAGAAATATCAGGAATGATCATAAACATTAATCTAATTGAACGAAATAAAACTATTAACTTCAGAGAAAATTTATCGAGAAATAATTGGCTATTTTTACCGAAAATTACGCGACTCACTATCTAAGATCGCTTTTCTTCGACAGAAGCTTATATCTGCCCGATAATCTGTAAAATGTGAAAATCGAAACTAAAATCGGTTAATTTGTGCTACTTGCTAAGGATGTTTAATATGCGTTTGAAGTTTTATCTAGAAGATGAAAAAGAAGAAGAAGAAGTATGTAATTAACACATTCTTAAAATATTCATCTTTCCTTTCTCATAAAACTTCCAGTATATTCTTAAGAATTAGATTTGCATCTTAATCCGGCTCTGCCTTTCCTAGAACAGCTCTTTCGCGAATTAAACGCACTTATTTACTTTTAAGCTATAACAACTTGGCGTAAAGAAATGCAAATGACATCCGAAGGACTTTTCACATTCATTCTTGAGCACCCTCTGTTCTTGAGTAACGCTAATTGAAGAAACATTCGCACATTTTGTAATAATTCGCAGTGTCACAAAAATTTAAACATTTATATTCGTTTAAATACCTTATTCTAATATTAACCGCTGCTAATTTATTTAATTTTTATCATTCTTTAATCCATTCAATATTCGCCTAGTTTGTTGTAATTCCCAATCTATCTGTTCATTAGAAACTCGAAAGCATTCTTTTAAAATTCCTTTTCCTCCTCGCATTTAAATTTGAAACGTGACTCATCCCACGCTTAATATCACTTTAATCCCGCTCTCTGGTTTCAAATTTATCAAACAATTACTCAGCAACCAGTATAAATACCATCCACAAATCGAAGGGTAGTTTCTGTCTCCTCTAATTATCTAGAATTTCATTAAAGGCGAAGATGGAGTCTGTCGAACTGTGAAGTTTGTTAACTTTGCTTAGCTGTTATTCGCGATCCTCTCCACGAAACATTGATTAATATCGTCGACAATTAGAATACTGTGATAAACTCGTGGCAAGGCATGTTCGAAACTCGACGTTCCTGTAAAATTGACTAAGAGTCTAAGACAGCAAGTAGATCCGGCGCAAGTTAACAAGGAAGATCTCTGTCGATCACCCGGTGACTTAATTACCCGACCGAGGGCTGGTCGCTTTGAGAAACGAGAACGTGTGATTACTAGGTGTAATTAGCGTTTTAATTGCAGTACGACTCGCTCACGCCGGGGAAAAGTGGCGGCGGAGGGGAGTACGATGTGCAGTCTGGCTTCGGATGGACTAACGGCGTGGTCTTGGAATTCCTTAATACCTTCCCGAACATCAAGGTGAAGGAGATTAGCTACATCAACGACATAAACACAGAAATCAGACAATAGCAGGTGAGTACGGCAAGCTGGTAAATTTAAGAAGTAAATATTAATATTATAATAAATATTAGTTATTAGTTATAGTTATATAAGTAACATTATTTGCAATTAGTATGTGGATGTTTATGCAAATTCATTCTTTTACGAATAATTTGCCACTTATTAATATTAACATTCATACGACTAAAGACGCAGAACTTAAGCGGAATTTGTTTCCTTCGTTAAATATTGTGTAATAACGAGTACCGTAGCTTTGACATTTTATATTTCTAAGGAGACACTTTTGAATATAAAATTCTGTGCATTTTTGCACCTTTTAATACCCCGTAAGTACATAGGGCGTTGTTAAATTTTGTTCCAGGTTTCATTGGTGATGGTGCAACGCGTATTTTCCAACGAATCTAGTCTACACGGAAAAACAGGGCAGCGCGTTTTATAAAAACCCACCGTTTGTTCCATGTGAATCAACGTGTATATTTTTTTAAGAAAATTTGTCTTCGCCGTTCACCGATCGTTTCTTTTTTAACTATCATTTTCGTTAATGTTAACGATAGTTACAATGACGACAGTTTTATCTTGGACCAAACCCACAAAAGAAGATTTTACATGAAACGTTTGTACAATACTAGCTGAGATATAATATTATTATACGTGTAACGAAAGAAAACTTAACCGACACTAGTTAATTTATTGTTTAGTATTTTTAATCGTTGAAATTTCGTCCATCCAGAGTGTCTTATAGAGTTTAAATAATTGTTAATGATCAAATAGAATAATTTAGAAATGTCGTTCATAAGGAATATTAGAGTTTGCTAAATTTATATCAGTCAAATATTCACATAAAATTTGCGAAAATTATTTTTCAGTACAATCTAAGGATATCATGTATCAAGGTAGTAAGAATTATCTCGATGTCAACGATATTGAATGTCAATTATATTTTTAATGCACCTTGATAAATCGTGTACATCGTGTACGCGAAATGTGGGCACAGAAGGTATAGCAATTACGTATGAAACTCGTCAGTATTCTAATTTAGCCCTAGCTTTAACGATAGTAGTGTGTGTTAGAGAACTATAATTGCATGCATCTTTGTTCGTTTCTCGTGCAGGATGACACTGGCGACAGAACTCCGATACCTTAAGTTTTTCATATATGTATTCTCACAAAATGTATCACTTTTTAGACAATCGTGTATAAGCTATTGACCTAATTCAGGATTGATAATCGCCTTAATCGCTTTTATCAGGATTGATAAAGCCAAAAAATCAGGGAAGATCGTTTCAGAGACAATAATATGTATATATATATATATATATATTTAATACAACATCGATAAGAAGTTGTTTCCAGTGGAACAGAAACAATAAGGAAATTGCATGTGCATAAAAATGTAAAAAAATAAAAGATCGATAAGAAAGAAAATTTATTTATTTTTATCCTATCCTTCCTAGGGATCCAAATTAAATCGCATAAAATTGCAACCGAAGGTATTTCTATCCTTTAAATAATTAGAAGAAATTCATAGATAAAATTAGGGAGAAGAAAAAAAATAATTTTTCAAGATAAATCTAAGGCGTCATATTTCTCAAATGGTAAAATATACACGCACGAAGCTACCTGTCCTTTGTTTTAAATTACTCGTTACGTATTAAATTCGAATTTAATTATTTAATATTATATATAGTCAGTCGGTCATACGTGCTAGAATTATTTGACATTAAATATGGTTAGTAGTCATACGTTGTTTTTATTCATATCGAGTTAATTCGGATAAAATCCGATAGTGGAGCGTGATATTCATTAAAATTTTCTCTTAAAATGTAGCCGTATCTCATTGCCATTTTCTTAATACGGTGTAACAATAATTCTTTAATGCAACGACTGAATACATATAATTACACATGTATAGTATCTTCCGCTTGGGGATCATTTATCGAATGTCATTCTATGTTACATACATAACAATTAAGCTACGTCCTTGTTTACAATGGAGAGAAGAACCATATTTCTATGCTCTCTATTTATCTTTAATTCCCTTCGAATGTTTCGACCATTCATTTGCAATATTTCGAGTGCATGAGCGTGCCGGTAGCGGAAAATATCCGTCTTTTTGAGACATTTTCCTCTTGTACCAAATTCCTCTTGTTGTGTTTACGAAGAAAAATGGAACGACCGTAATTTTCCATTTATACTCATCTACATCGGACATACTATTCCAAGGACAACTTTACCCGATGCTGATGTTTCCGTCATAGTTGATATTTCATTTTTGTATGGATTAATAACCGTTGTTAATACATATCTCTCTGGAGAAATCAAATAACATAATTTCTTGGAACAATTGACATCATAATTTTCATTCTATTATGGAAGTTTAACAAGTACACGTATAGCAAGGTTCCTACCTTTTTAAAATAATCTAACATTTATTTGATTCGATGTGTTTTAATAAGCTCGGCAACTTACAGAAATTTGTTCTGAAATTTTAATTCGTTTTTATGAGAATAACCAGCGCCGTATCAAAATAGTAAAACGATGTACCTTCTCGTTCATTATAATCTTCCGCGAATTCCTAATTAGCATGCAAGAAACATTATCGCATCCTGTCTCTTGGAATTCCTTTTTCCAAATGATGCGTATTTTATAGTTTCATTTTACTTGGAACTTTACAACAATGTCTGCAACGACTTTCACGCGCGCGCGATTGAATTTATGATACATTAAGTATACCGTTGCGCCTGGAGTTTTCCAGGAACATCGTTTTATAATCGTAAATTTTGCGTGCCGGTAATTCAGCGCAGTCTCCTGCGATGGGACAAAGTTGAGAGAACGCAAGATATACACGTTGTTACACAAAAAAAAAGAATCATGTTATTGAATAACCTTCCAACAATGTAGCCTAAACTCAATTTTTTCCATTAAAAATACCCCGAAGCTTATTTTCACATTCCGATGTAAGGTTAACATTCGCGGATTATGAATCCTTTTCGCGTCCTATGTTTCTATTTTCACGTTCAAGTAAGTAAAAGAAATAATCGCCCAGTATATGTAAATGTTATTCAACAAATAAACCTCAAGTTCAAAATAAAACAATTACATTAAACTCCTTTTCTGTAGTATACGTTGTATCCTCTGTATATATTGGCTTATTTGATTTGAAATTATAATGAATAATTCAACACACACATATACATATATATATCGAAACACAAATAGGGTTTCAAGATTTTCATCGGATACACTGTGACAAGTAAATCTTCGCATCCCCTACGAATTGGCGACGGTGACAAATGCAACTGGATGAAAAAGGTCTCTCGGGGAATTCCATTAAAAAATGACCATCGAGAATACCTTGGTCCGAACGACGTTAAATTACTACAACTTTAGCTATTTGGGGGAATTCGTGTTACACGTTAGCTCCGTGCTTGTCAGCTTTTCGATCGGCATTCCGTAGCACGTGGCGTTCGATGGATTTTCACAGCGAAACGGACAAAACGAAATTGCAAAATGCGTCATTCTTTTCATTTCACTTGCCACGCCTGTGTATGATGTCCTGCTTGCGAGTGAAGCTCGCATTTACGCTTGGCCAGTCTTGTGGACATTTGCTCGCTCTTCCAGAAAGCAATAAATGAGAAGGAAAAGTAACGCGTGCATTACCAATGCTCCTATGATGCACGTATGATTAATTCGTTCATGTTGATCCATCGTTCGATCAGCCGATTATAGGGAAATTTACGTAGTTACCCGTTAGGTGAAGCGTTTTATTAAATAGTTATCTCTGGTACAAATTACGTACTCTGATTAATGCACGATGGAAAAATGTTAGAAAGTAGAGAAATCTGGAGACGGAAAGCTATCCAGTAGGAAACTGGAAGATTTCCATAGGAAATGAAAGGAGCTACGTTTAATGTACAATGACTCGTAAAAGTATTCGTACGCTTACTATAGAAAACTTTTACGTGTGTATTGTGCACGTTATGTGGAGCATTTTGAAATGTTGTTAGCACTATAATGAGACGCGACTGCCATATATATATTGGCAAAATTTGAGCTATTAATTATAGATAAGATATTTGTTTACTAAAAACTTATAATTAATAAAATATTAATATATATGTGAATAGTTTCCTTAGAAACGTATAGTGAACGTTAAAGACGATTACACTGAATATTGTGGATGATTGCCTACTTAAATACTTTTATGATATAAATAATTATGTTAGTTAGGTATCATTATAGTATCAATGAAATTTGAAAATGTTTCATATAATCGAACACATAATATGTTCATAAAACTAGTTGACAAGTGTACGTCTAATTTCGGCAGCCAATATGCATAGAAATCTTCTGAATTCCTTGATAAAATCTATACCATTACTCATCCAAAATCTAAACCACTTCGTATCAATTTTTGTTTCGCAAAAACTTAATGGGTCATGCTACAGTTATTAGAATCACATAATCTTATCTGAAATTACGAGCCTGTTGCTAAAGAATACATAGATCACCCGTGGGGCTTGCCATAATTGCGACAGCCGTGTAAAGAATTGAGTATTAGCCAGGAGTAGTTGATACGGACGTCCTCGTAAAACCCACAAAACATCAATACGATATTGGCGGAGGCGATGCCTACCTGTTCAATTTTACACATTTAAATTATCCTCACTTGAGATTATACCTCGTGTTGTTTATTTTTCTTACGATAATTGCGCGGTTTAATCTAAAGGCATCAGATATTCTTCAGTCGCTGCTGCTTAATTTACATTTTACTCGTGACATTTTCCTACGGTGTGTACCCATAGTTTCGTTAAAACTATCGCGCTCGTTTTAGCGTGAATAAATTAACAAAATGCAAGTCGAAGCGTCGTCGCGCGAAATGATTTCGTTTCGTTGCCAGGAAATCTCGTTGTCTCTGAAACTACAGAAAAACTATAAGATATGATAAATGTCATCGACAATTCTATATTGCTGTTCCTGTCTAGTTTATCTTTTATTTCAGGCAGAAAACAGAAACACAAAGTGATTTGCTGAAACGATTCTCACACTCTGGCAATGGGAGCATCGTAATATCGACAAAGGGTCAAAGAAAAATTGGTACAGCGACATAGTTCCCTTCTCTTTGTACAATTACGGAAAACGTAAAAAACGTAAAAAACAAAAAGGGAAAACAAAAATACAACACAAGAGGAATTACTTGCTCGAATGATGATGACATTCATATATTGTTTTACATGAAAGTGTAAATATTTTTTTTTCAAAGAGAGCGAAATAGGCGAGAAAAATCCCCAACATATGGAAAAATACCAAATATATTCCAATATTATTTACAAGTTACAATTTAAGTTATAAAACGTTAAACATTTTTTTAACCACATTTGGTGTTACGGATCGATGAAAAGGTTAATTCATCGGTCAGTATATACGACACTTTTATGTTACACAAAGACTCGCTGCTCGACAAAATATTACTCACACTCACAAGTACATGTTCAATTTCTAATTTTAATTAAACATTGCCTTTTCATTTTTCATGAATCTAGTCGTTCGTTTTCAGGTTTGGTAAATAAGATACATCCACGAATATTTACTTGTAAATTCGCGTCACGGTCAAAGAAATATAATTCGAAGAAAGATGACACGAGATACGAAGCCGCAGACGCGGGAAGCAAGAAGGAAATATTAATGTCGTAATCGAGGGCGTTTTACGTCGGCCAACAAATCTCATTACTTGTTACGTTGCTCGCCATTGTTGTAGCCCAACTTGAAGAAATCTTTCAGCACCACGTTGAATGTTACGGTAACAATACCCTCCACTCTCATGCGCGTGACTGCAATTATAAAGAAAGTTATTACTCGGGGTCGCCCATGATGCGTCGGCTTGCGAAACATCAGGTGCACGTAGCTTTCCAGCACAGTTTATGGCGTCTCAGAGTCGCGGGATTCTCGTGGCGACTGTTTAATTTGAACCACTTTATTCCAGGTCATTCTTAAGAGACGCGAAAATCATAAAATGCCTCTGCAACTGGAAATCGTACGCGATCGTGCCTGCACCCACGAGCGCGTGTCTCGATGCAGTTAGAATGTAGATCCATATTTCTATCGGAGATATTTTTGAAAAAAAAGAAGAAAAAGAAAACTGTAAATCTCTAGTCGTGAAAATGGCACGTTTCCAGTTACTATGAATGCGTCATGCGATTGACGTAACGAGTGATATAATTCTCAGAGTTGAACGTCGAGTTCTCGAAAGTGAAATAAAGAATAGAAAAAGTTTAGAAATAGAAAGCAAGGTATAATTAAAAATAATTGGCTAATACAGTAACGAAACTTTTACCAAGATACACGTACGTATCTCGAACCAAAGATCGTGGAAAGGTAATATTCTTAAATTCGCCGAAAATGCTACAACTTGGAATATATAAATAATTTCGAATATTTCCAAAATTCCTGCCATCACCGATAAAAGTTTCGTACTTCAAACTTGCCTCTACCGTCTACATATTTAAAAGCACAGAAAGCAACGAGCATTTTCATCGATAGAAAGCTGAAAAAGTAGCTATCGTCGGCAGTTTGCGAGAGTAACCGGAAAAAAACAAGAGATCAGCTACGTCGCGATAGCAAACTGATATCAGTAAAATTGGACGTATCGATTAAGTCGTATCGGAGGATTCGTGAGACTCTTAATTCCTTTCTATCGACCGATACGAGAATGACGTAAGTTGACACTATCGACGTAACGACTGTCCTTAATACGCGAGTCTCGGCTGAGCTCGACTAATTTAACGTCAGGAAGAATCGTCATCGAGAGACGTGATATGCTTCAAAATATTGCCTTACGTTCCCTTCCGTCACCAGAAGCCAATATCGCCGGATCAATTAGTTCTGGCCTTCTTCCGGTTAACCAGGCCGCAAATCGTTGCAACGTCGAGGAGGACTCCGGCACGTACACGGATATTCTGCATAATTTCACAGACGTTACAACAAACGTCGTTAACAAACGATTGCGTGTGACTAATTAAATCACGTTTGATGTTGAGCAAATTGCTCGTAATCGACTCTACGTTACGGGCTAATGAATTCTCGGAGTAATTATTCACGGCGTAGCAAATAATTCGGGGAATTTGAGGGACTCGATTAGGCAAGAAATTAGACTATGTATCACTGTGATGTTTTATTGTCTTTCTAGGATGTGAGGAAAGGGAGGCTGGATTTTAAGGTACGAAATGTTTCATTTGTTATGTGTAAACTGCGATGAGAAATTGACTTTTGTGTTTTTTTAGGAGTGTAATTCTGTACTGTGACTGTATAATGTAACAAAATGACTTGTAATCGTGCTGTAAACTTTACATTTTTAAAATCGTGCGAAAATAAGTACGTCCCATATCTGCAGTTGTTGAAGAGCGTTAGAAAGTAATTTAAATGCAGCACAATCGCAATTAATCTAACACGGGGCATTATATTTACATAATCCAACAAAACTTAGGTAAATCTGAAAAATATGCACTAAAGTTCCAAAAATATTGATCGTCGTATTATTGATTTTACAATAAAATTCCAATCATAGGAAGAGGTCCTAATAAAATTGCCATTTTTAGCCATCGAGTAACGTCAGAAATAACAAGATTAAATACAGATCTATTTATCTATGTAGGGTTTTCCCCTTGCAATCTTCATTTATCTTTCGAGATATCCTAATTTGTAGTATTGTAGTATGTATGTATTGTATGTATTGTAGTATGGTGATAGACAAGATCGTAATTACACGACGTTACATCGCATTGTGAAATATTAAAGAATTTTTTGGTCATAATGTAATATAATACCTTTTCTCGTGTTGACCTGTTTTCAGCGGTAAATGACACACTCCATATCCTCTGATGACGTCGTGGCCGAAGATATCCAAGCCATAAACAGACATTATTAACTGTGGCCCTAAGACACCATTTTACAGATGATTGGTTATATTTCACGTGTTTAATAATATTTCCTAGTTATTTTAGGAATTTTCAATATTATGAAATCCTTTGATCCTACTATTCGCTATATTTTCTATTCATTATATATTATAAGAAGACAATATATAGTACTTATATAATTTTTCCAGTTTTTTAAGAAGAAGGATTCAGCAACAATCAATATATTCTAGAACGACTAGAAACCAGAAAATAAAATTAAAAAAGTAAAATTTATTGGTTCAATCGTAGCTTTGGGGCTTCGATTTCCTCAAGTACGTAAATCGAGTATCATTGAATCCACTTACATCCATGCGGGTTAGTACTCTTGAACGTGACTTCTAGCGGAAAATTCCAGACTGCCAGATTTCGTGGGTCGCTGCTGCATTTGCACATCTGCGTCAAACCTTCCTCGATACCCTAAACCGGATTGCACAAGTCACTAAACGATCGACGATAAAATTCCGCCGTTGAAATCGATAGAACACTGCGTCTAGTCGACGCGACAGCGTGTCATAGGTAAGCAGAATAACTCACGGCAACTACGCTCCATTCGGGACCAAAGTGAAATCCGTATTTGCAGTAGGCGTTGTCAACATCGTAAAACTCCGCGTGTTCGATGGATCCTGTGATCGAGAGGAAGAATTCACCTTCGACTGACATGACCAACTTACGTAGCAATCTAATCGAATTAGATTTACAAACTCACAGAAAGGAAAACTAACTTAGATTCACGATATTTGTTTATTCCTAGTATCGTTAAAATACATCGACGCAGTACAATCATTAAAAGGTACTCGAACACTTATCAGAGAAAATGTTTATTTCGATCTCTGACCAATATAACTTCGTTAGGATGCTGACGAAATTTCCAAATCTTTTGTACGAAGCACGTAATATTCGCAGAAATACTTTTTATAATCAGAGTTCAATTATTTTGGCGAGGAAGGTTCTATGAACGAAACATGACTAATGGTAGGCTTATTTGTGCTGATCGGAGCTTTGTGTACGATTAAGCGAATTGGTTGTCGTGGTAACGAAGCATGCGCCTCCATTTTCCATAGCATTTGGTTCATTTCAACGGTCAAAAGACGCGGTTACTAAATATAGATGGGATCTTCCCCTTTAGTATTCAGAAAGCGTCGGCTATGTTATCTAATATCTACAACAACTTGCATTATTCTGGTAAACGTAGCCTTGACATGGTATGAAATATTAGGAGAAATTATAAGGTACTTTAATTCACGAAGAGACGAAGATGCAAATTAATTTGTTGCTGTGTGAACCTATTTAATTAGAGGAATCAAATTTAATGTCGCCGGGATGCAAGGAGGGTTGATGGGAAATCTGAGAAGACAAATAAGATAAGTCCGATCAGAAATTTGTAATTAAAGTTGAACGTTTGAAATTGAATTGGAACGGAGATCCTGAAATTAATAGAATGTCAAAGAAAAATGTATTTTCCTTCGAAAGTATTATCCAACTAAATGCTAATCTTTGTAAAAGAAATTGACTGTACGAATTTAATTAGTAAACCATTTGAATATTTTAATGATATCAGATAATCATACGTGAGAATCCAATAATTCGTTTATTTTTGACATTTGCATATTATACTATAATATAATATTGTAAAATAATGCTCATTGTATATATGTTTTTAAAATATAGAATTGATAAAAACAGAGGAAATGAGTGCTCACGCCCATAGATCTAGTTGTTTCATAGTACTAGTGCTGCACCATGCGGCCAAGTGCCAAAGAGCATGAACGTTAGCATGTACAAGAACCTATGTATTTAAGCTTAATGTTCGGGATCTGCGCTGTTTGGCTGTACATTAGAATAGACAAGAACCTATTGAGTTGTACGTTACAAGAACTACTTAACCGCACGGTTCTACGAAAAAGTTCATATCTTCTTTTCCATCCGAGATGGACAAGTATGAGAATGACAAAATCGCGCAGTAATGAAAATAATTGTAGATTGTCTAAGAAAGAGAAATTAATTGTTTGCTATATTTCTTTTAGAAAAGAAAAGATAGCGTATCCTAAACGATAATGGATCAGTGGAATGATGTAATAATTATAATATTTTTCACACACGATTTAACATTAATTCTTAGTACTTGATATGTCAATTGTAGCGACATAAAAATTTTTTTTTCTCAGCCACGTTTTCTTTTTCCTCAGCACGTACGATGGTGTTCGTTGAGACGAATTCAAAGATCTTTCATATTTGATAAAAATAAGAATTATGCTGGTATCCGAATATTTTTATAATCATGAATATAATTATAGGCTGAGAATTTACTATTATCACGGCGCATGCTTGAACGTCTGACGATCATCGATCGATCGTTAACGAGAAAATTAGTGATGTAATATATCGTTCATTTCTGTTGACTAATTTCCCTCCCTTATTAGGCCATTGAGATCAATCTACAGCCTACTTTCATCCTTTTTGTAATAGGGTAAGTGACTTTATGAATATTTAGTATTTTAATTCATATTGGAGATGAAAAGAATGTTGATTTGTGTTAGTTTCGAGGTTAGATGAATTTATTAAATAAGTACACTGAGTCGTGAAAATATTATACATTGTTTAATACTTACCTTCTAGAGTACTATTTAAAATTTTATTCGATATTTTAGAATATAAATTGCTAGAATCATTTAATACATGACAAAATGTTATTATCTTAATACTTAAATGTGTTTATTTCGTCTGCTGTTTTCTTGTTTCGGCAATTTAAAAATTCAGTAGGCAATTATTCTGGAATGTTTTTAATGAATTAAAATAGTTTTATCCTCAAATCTTATTGGTTCATCATTAATTATAACGACGCTTCTATAAATTTTCCGAAAGAGACCTATCTATATGTAGTTTTCGTCTTTAACAGCACATGATATTAACACGAATATTCAATTATGGTCTTCATAAACAGTACTAAATATTTATGTATTTTAAATGTCTGGAACATTAAATGTAGCTTATGAGACCAAACACAAGCTATCAAAAGTTTCAAATACCAATCTTTCCTGCTATCAAAAATTAAAAGGTAAATATTTCTAATCATTAATTTTTCCATCTAAAACAAACATTAAATGGGAATTATATAAAACATTATTCAACAAATTAAACACGAATACATGCGATATGAAATAAAGAACCCACAACGTTCACTGTTCAGTACAATTTTTTATTCCTCGAATAACAACAGCGAATCTTACATTTGATCGAATCAATCATAAATACCTAGAAAACGGTATAACCACGATGTGTCCTACATTGCGAACAATACATAGTATGTACAGAAGATTCCACCGAGGTAGAATAAATTTCTCGTCCGATAGAAGCATGCAATCTCGGCGTGCCATTGTCGGCTGTACACGATTTAAAAATGAACACGTTGGCACGCGTGAGTTGCACTGCCGCCTTATCTACTCATGGAAATTTCCTCTTGCACTTTATACGAAACTCGAAGAATCTGTCGACGCGTGATTTGCATTGCGATACATGTAATGAACAATGAACGATTCGAATAATGTTTACAGAACGATTCGATCCGATTCGCTTCTTCTATGATTTAACTGATGCGCGCTAAAAATTTGTCTAAAATTATTCTTCGTCGTTCGACTTTCACCCGATCATAGTTCATTACCATTGCTTTCTTCCGTTCTTTTCTTCACTACAAATAATACAGCGGTATTGTCACGAAAGAAACGTGCGCTGTTCGTTTTTTCCATTTCTTTTATGTCCTTCTTTTTCTCTAAATAACCCTCTCTTTAGTTTCGAAACGTCACGTTGCACAAAGCAACGACGACAAATCTCGCCATCACGATTTTATTACGCAAATCTACCTGGAAGATTAATGTGTTATACCGTAACAGTCTCTGTTCGTGTCTTACTAACGATATACACACAACGAACTACGAGATCGTGGCACGTCTTCTCAAAAAACGATGACGGTTTCGCGATTCTGATAGACGAACGTGTTTTACTTTCCACTAGCGAGCTCCTTCATCCGATTCAGAGCCGACCCTGCTTTGAACCAGGATATTTGTTGCTCGTTCATGGTGTGGTTCAGGGATATAGCGTCCACTTTGCCATCCTTGTGCTTGATTTCTGCTTTTACTGGCTGCAAATTAAAAGGGAAAATTAATCTTCTTTCATTGATTGTATAAGAAACTTTTTCCCTTGGTTGCTAGCCAAATGTTTACCATCTAGGAACGGTGTAGTTGAAATTAAACATTGTTATTCTGGAATCAAGGGTTACGTGCTCGAATACTTCAATGCTACGCATCAGCAATGATTATAATAGTATACTCGATATGTTGCGCTATCGCAAGTGCTATCTTAGTGCTACCTTTGATCGTCTATATTTAGCTGACTTTCAGATTAAAGTAATTATACTATATGTCATAGTGATCTAATAATAGTTAATTAATTCTCAAAATACACTCGACATAATACAATATAGTGCTCGATTAATATTCCATAAAAAAGTTCTACCATTCAGAGATAGCAACCAAACAATCAATCTAAAACTTTAAATTTCCATACAAGATGTCTTATCTAACAAAAGAAATAATTAATGTCTTCAACAAAAGTGTACCTTGCCAGGCGCCAGATCGTTCAATCCCAGAAGACTGATTTTATCGGTAGGCTGGATCTTATCGTAATCACTAGGATTGGCGAAAGTCAGAGGTAACAGTCCTTGTTTCTTTAAGTTGGTCTCGTGGATACGGGCAAAACTCTTGACGATAATGGCACGGCCACCGAGATGTCTTGGTTCAAGAGCTGCGTGTTCTCGAGACGAACCTTCTCCGTAGTTTTCGTCACCAATGGCTACCCATTTGACGTTATTTTTCTTGTAATGTCTGGCAACATCCGGAACTTTTCCCCATTCACCATTTAGCTGATTCTTTACCTTGTTCATCTCGCTATTTTCGGCATTTACAGCTCTAAAAAATGTATGATAATTTTTTAGACAAAATTTAGAAAATTGTGAATGCTATCACTTTTACGATATTCCAGATTATGAAAAATTTACCCAATGAACATGTTGTTGGAAATATTGTCCAAGTGACCACGATACTTCAACCATGGACCAGCAGCCGAAATGTGATCAGTGGTACATTTTCCTTTGACTTTGATTAAAATAGTCATGTCGGTGAGATCTTTGCCGTCCCATTTGTCGAATGGTTCTAATAACTGTAATCGTTCGCTCGTCGGGCTTACGTCGACCTTGACACTGCTACCGTCAACTGGAGGAGCATCGTACGTCTCCATGCCAGGGTCGAAACCGCGGTTTGGAAGTTCATCACCTAAATAAAATTTTATTTATATTTATTTTAAAATATCAATTAGGCAAGTAATGTACAAAGTTTGTTATCAGTGTTTGAGAAACGTATGAAATGTTTCACAAATTCACTACATCCGAGTTCCGCTCGTAAACAGATTTTATCATCGAAGATTGTTGCATTAGACAGAGATACGGAAGAACTTTGTTCTTTTCATAAAAGACAAGAACATACGGACAGACGACAGATTCACGAACACTTTATCACTATCTGTGCACGAAGCAGTCTCGCATAGTTAAGTAATAAACCACTCTTAACCTCAATAATCAATTTCAAAGGCGAAAGTCTACGTCCAATATTTCACAATCGGATATCCAATTGGATCTTCGATTTAATCTCTGCATATTATTCTTAACCTTGTAATTATCTAGTACTGGGCACGATAAATTATTCGCAGACATCTCTATGAAACAATCTCGTTATGAAACAGATATATACCATATGCTGTGATTCATGTTTAATCGTCTGCAAATTAACTACGATCTTGGTTATCTTTTTTATGGTTTCATACATAATGGCAGAATATTTACATTAATGAGATAATTTGATAATCATAAGAAAATTATATTTACCAAACGGATCTTTGAGAAAAAATTCCTTCCCATCCTTGCCCTTGAGTTTATCGGTAACAGGGTTAAAGTCTAATCGGCCGGCAATCGAAAGGGCAGTGACGAGTTCAGGGCTAGTGACGAAAGCATGAGTCGCGGGGTTGGCATCGTTTCTTCCCGTGAAATTTCGATTGTACGAAGTGACGATCGTGTTCTTATCTCCCTTCTTGATGTCTTGACGATCCCATTGACCGATGCAAGGTCCGCAAGCATTAGCCAATACAGTGCCGCCGAAGTTTCGAAGGATCTCCGCCTAAATCAACAGGATTAAAATTTTTTTTAGTATCTCAGTTACGAGATATATTCAAGGGAATACTAGTGAAATTTAGAACAACTTAAATATTCGTAGGGACTTGAAAGTTTTGCTACATCTTCGCAATATATTTGGGACTTTTTAATTTTTAGATATATTTAATAGCTTGGAAGTTCGAAATATCTATATCTAATATTTTTGGCATTTCGAGTGTTTACGAAATCTGTAGTATTTTTAACACAAAAGTCTACAATATCTCTGACATTTTTTTTATTTTGAATAATTTTGCGACATTTTTCAAACAATTGCAATATCTCGCTTACTTTTTGATACTTTGAACATTTGCAATATCTGTGATATCAATTTAAAAGGTGAGAATATCCTTCAGTCTCGTTACATTGTCTTACAGTCTTGTTACATTGCTACAATGTTCTAACAATCTTCATCCCTACCTCTAGCGATGTATTGTTCTAGATTGTATTCTAAGTCGATTTCATTGTCATCTAATGATCCCGTCATGTGAATCGACAATTTCTATTTTTTTACTGACACTGTCAAAATATCGAAGCCAAATTAAGAATTGGCGTAGGTCGCGTTACTTGTTGCTAAGTAACATGTACCAATGTTTGGCACGGTTCCAAAGAAACTATGCAACTTTGACTTTGGTAGAGGCTTTGAATTCTAATCAGAAACTATTATTCTAGAAATTGACTTACAATTCCATCGCGTTCGATGGTAGCACGGATCTGTTCAGATCCTGGTGTAACGTTAAACGCGGATTTTGCTTTCAAACCGTGATCGAGAGCTTGTTTGGCGATGTTCGCACATCGGCCCATATCTTCGTAAGAACTGTTTGTGCAGGAACCGATCAGGCCAACCTTGATCTCGTTCGGCCAGCCGTTCTTCTTGGCAGCATCACCTAGTCGGTACAAGTAATGAATGTCCCTCGTTCAATTTCTTTTATGAATTTAACACTGAAGTTTTTCTAAACTTTGTACTTTCTTAAAATATGAGATCAGATACAAAGTTAAGAGGATATTTTTTGAGTCGATAAATTTCATGTTCTCAGGAGCTACGTATTATCTGAATAGATACATATTTTCTAGACTTTACAGTTTTTTAAAGTACAAAGCAGAAAGTTGATATTATATTTACTATATTTTTTCAATCGAGTAGAAAAATATTTACGTAAAATATTTGGAAATTATTTGCACATCCCGCAAAAGAATATTCACAGTCAAATGTCATCGAATTTTAACAAAAATCATATTTAGTTTATCTTCTTTTAAAGCTTTTCAAAATTAAAAAAAATTAGTGTTGTAAAATCTAATCAGGCACGCCTACCTTAACTACGTTGATCATTCACTCCACTTACCCAATTTTGAAATGGGATGAGCGAGATCAGGCGTAAACGGTCCATTGACATGTGGTTCCAAGGTAGACAAATCCAATTCGATCAGTTGATCGTATTTAGCATTAGGATCGGCAGTTAAGAGACTTTTTTTATGCATATCCGCGGCAGCAGCGATGTCAGCTCGTCCAGTGGCCTTCAGATAGTCTTGCATACGATAATTGTACGGGAAGATTGAGGTAGTAGCACCAATTTCTGCACCCATGTTGCAAATAGTCGCCATTCCGGTACAGCTAATATTGTCGACACCAGGTCCAAAGTATTCTACGATCGCTCCAGTTCCTCCTTTGACTGTCAAGATACCAGCTACCTTCAAGATTATGTCCTTAGGGCTGGTCCATCCTTTCAAGGTTCCGGTCAGTTTCACTCCGATGACTTTGGGGCATTTTAATTCCCATGGTATGTTAGCCATTACGTCGACGGCATCAGCACCACCCACACCGATGCACAGACAGCCCAAACCACCACCATTAGGTGTATGAGAGTCGGTACCGATCATCAATAGACCTGGGAAAGCGTAGTTTTCCAGAATGATTTGATGGATGATACCGGAGCCTGGGTTCCAGAAACCAACGCCATACTTGGCACCAGCTGTCTTCAAGAAATTGTACACTTCCTTGTTGATGTCTTTGGCGCGTTTCAAGTCTTTATCGCCACCCATTTGGGCTTCGATCAAGTGGTCACAGTGAATAGTGGAAGGTACGGCGACTTTTGGTAGTCCTGCAGAAAATTAGCAACTTTGAGTAAAGGATTAAAAAGTATCATAGATGTGTCTTTATTGTTAAAGTCAACTGGAGATTTCTGTGAAGTTTAATCGTTTCTAATCTGAATTGTTTCTCGTAAGTGAAAAAGACATTTTCTTATTTGGATATGGAATCCTATAGTCCTATAGGGGAGGATTAATGCTAAGTAATTTAATCCGTTCATCTCAAATGACAACTTCATGGTGACATCACATACTATATAATATTTCTTGAAATAATTCCTGCATACTAAAATAGAAAGATATAGTGAGCATCTTATGATTATCATATAGGATCATCTTACAATTAATAGCATTTTGTAAATGCATTTTGTTTTGTGTACATTTATATGATTAATGTAAAAATTGTTTCCGGTCGTATCATGTGACTGATTTTTGCCGGACAAGCTTGTAAAAGGCGTTAATACCCTTTGTGTAAGATAATATGAAAAGTTTTCATATCATCATTAATAACGCATTATTGGCTTAGAATGGCCCAATTGGAGAAATTGCACAATTTATAATAAAATTACTACATGAATCCTTATTTTTTACTCAAACGACAGAATATAAGAGAATGTCTTCCTAAAAAGAAAAATAGGAGTTCTTTTTAATTAAATTACAAATGCTTTAAACTATACCAGAACTAATAAATTGCAACATGGCCATCTGGGCAGTGGCATCTTGCATAGCCACACGATCAGGTCGCAACCTGAGGTAGCTAGTACCACGGACGATTTCCTGTTTGTCGGGTTCATCGAGATGGGAATACAAAACTTTTTCGGACAGTGTCAGCGGTCGGGTCAACCTACAAATATTTTATCATATGCTCGATTAGGAAATCAAAAATACTGTGCTTGATTATGCAGACATCTTATACTCGCCTTTTCTTCACCACTTTAAGTTTTTCCTCTAATTTGTCGTACGGAAGGTAGGTGTCCTTATCGAATTTGGACATTGCCACCTTGTTGGCGGCAAAATTCAACGCGCTCACGCTGAAGCATCTTTGCTGGATGTCTATCGCAAAGATAGCGAGCTTCTACAAATGAAATTCACTAATTAATTATCGTACCAATCTTTGAATATCAAACGAGTAAGAAATTGAATTTAAAAGATATGGAAATCATGTTTCAGAAAAAGTAAAGAATGCGAAAGTTATATCTGCATATCTTAAATTAGGTCAACTCAGATATGAATTTCAGAAATAATTTATGATAGCATCTAATTTGTGAATAGTATACACAGTTATGCGCTATACCTGAGCCTGATGTACACTAGCGTAATTAATGTTTATTGACGATAGTAACGTTTCGCTTGCAGATAATGCGAGCTTAACATCTTCGTAGATATGTTTAAAAGTAATTTTATTGTTAACAGCTCAGTAATATTTCCTGAGTTCAAGTGGAAAACTTACGCCTATACGACAAAAACACGATAGTTGAGAAGAAGATTAATGATAATGAAATAGTTTAGCTATATCTCTACTTTGCTGTGTCCTTAACTTGTTACGTATAAGTATGTACATGTGACGAAATAGTATGAATAGATTCATCTACATACAACAGTTACGTAATTCTTTTATTTACGAAGACGAAAAATTTGCTCAACTTCTCGCGAAATATTTTGGAAAAAACCATATTCCGGAAAGTATATAAAGCATCCAGTGTAATTATTCTTGATTCAACAGCACACGATCGTTATTAGTTAGTATATATATTCTTATCATATAAAAATTTATCGGACGTCTCGAAGAAAAACCAACGGATCAAATTACCGATTGATGAATATTTTCCATTCATCTTTGTCTGTCACGCAGCCCTGGCGCAATGGCCGCAAACCTAACCTCGAAATCTCCTAAAAATGTACTTGTTATATGCAATAATTTCGAAAGATATTATGTAACGTGTCTGTATCGTCTTATTCGGTCCATTTCCCTAATCACTCGTACATTGTTATTATCGCGATATATCTTTCTCTGCTGCACTGTCTTAAGTGCTCCAAATGCGCTTTGCTTCCAAAATACCGATTAAATGATTTCGTCCAATGATTATCACAAAACCTGGCGATCAAATTATAGAGTATCCTCGAATGTCACAATGAAAATGTAACACGATCATTTTCAGTTAAGATAATCAAATGTGCGGCGAATACTCATCACTTGAAAGATCATTGCTCTCACAGACCATGGTTAGTTGATTCAAAAAGAAAAAAAGTGGATTTTTGTCAACATTCAAATCAATGATCGATAGTTGGTCACTTCAACATGACACGATCGACCTTGATAATGGGGTCGAGCGGTCAAACTCAAGGCACAGACTGATTTCATATCACTGATTCAATTTGATATTCTTCGACGATGAAATTCTTTTGGTATACAAAACGTTGAAGAAAATTAAGCATACCTGATCCCGAAGGATTCGGGTGCAATACGACATTCTCGTGATAGGAAACCTTCTGGTGACGTTGCGACTCGTGAAGTGGATTCGTAGGCGAAGAAAAGCGCAGGCGCGAGACGAGAAACACTAACAAACCGCGTCTTCTCTTGTGGCAGCCCTTCTCAAACCGGCCACTAGAGAACTGAGTGAAATTCAGCTTAGCTTCCTCGTGTCAATGCAGAGAAGTTACGCATGCGCCCCCTTTCTTCGGCCTATTTAGATACGAATTTTGTGGGAATGAAAGACAGGCGCCCTCACTGCATCGACAACTTTCCGAGCAGACGTTGATACCATTGACGAGCAAATAAGAGTTTTGACAGAGGAAATTTTAACAGCTGTTCATTCAACTTCATGTGGCGCAGTTATCGCTACCGCCGTACAGTTTGATCAATCAGCTCTGGCAATTGCGCGGTAGAAAATTGACGAGAGTGGAAAGAAGTCAAAGTTTAACAAACATCATTTGGAATAACAACACGTGAAACTAGATGTTAAAGTATAGAATTTTAAGAATAAAGTATCATTCAATGCTGCTAACCTAAGGAATAACGAATAGAAAAATAATAAATACAGTTTTAGAGTTTATTCATGAATAACAAATATTGGCACTGTTTAAAGGATTTATCGTTAGGCACGAATAAATCTGTAATGTTGTTTGTGAGAATATTGTTTGAAAGGATTGTGTGAGGAATAGATATCGCAAATAAGCAGCGCCGTTTGATTGGTATCTATGGAATAAAGAAAAATCTTCCTCGGATAGTATACGTTCATACATGTATAGAATGTTTGAATTTACGACGCAGCTAACTAGTAAACTTATTGATTAAACTGTACTGAAACGTAGTACGAGCAGTTTCTGGGAAGCAGCGCGGCTAGCGTTACTGAATGGAACTGTGAGAACCGGCTTGTCACTGATAATTCAGGGAATATCCTGAAGGGGGCCTCAAGCTTGTTATCGATCGATGTTTACCGGCTTAGAGTAGAGCAGATGTGGGAACTTTGAATATTGGACTGACTTTATTTTCAGACTGTAACATATTTATAATGGTACTTTTATAAATAGATTTCCACATTTTATGTCTATCTTGTTTGAGCAACGAATTGAATAACGCAGAATAGAAGAAGGGTGATTTCACATAGATATCTTTTATATCCACTAAAAATGTTATCTCCAATATTCATAGTCACGCCAAAAAGAATGAATTGTAAATTAATGACGAATAACGATAATGAATATTTAAAAAAATACTTGAAGAAACTCGATTGGATTCTCAGGAAATATCAGTACCTAATTCTTTCTTAAGTCAATTAAGTTATCTTTATAAATGACGTCGTAATATCAGTTTATCAGTTACTCCGACGTAAGCATTATTTGCAACATATCTATCAAAGAAATGCACTTATAATAAAGCATCATACATTAGTATGAAAATATCTTGACAGTGATTTCGTTGTTGGATTAAATTTTCAATTTAATTTATCAATAAAATTAACATAAATTGTTATTATGCACTGGGCGATTTCAACAGCACCGCAATCAATTTCATCATCGTTACATACGTTTCACGCGTTTCAGAAGTACGTGAAGATTATTTTTATCTATCAATTAATTCCACTGTTGTATGAATTCTGGCTAGACTTTCGTGATAGTAATGCGAAGAAAATTTTTAATATCTTTGAACAGATGGAACTTATCAGAAATTACAAACAAAGCAACGCAACTCTGTGAAGTGAGAAAAAAAGGAATTTTTTTCTTTTTGTCTACAATTTGATCGTCAATCCTTTTAGGAAATTAATAGTTACTAATGGCCAACTTTTTTCTGTAAAATTCTATTTTGCATATGATTTCTTCAATTCTATATATTCTATTAACTATAACGTATATTTACTAACAAAAATAATTCATTTTACGTGATACTCTTTCTGATCCATAAAACGTAATCGCACCGTATCAAACACGCCTCGTCTAATCTAATCAGTCACAATGACAGCAAGTTCGAAAAAATCAGGACACTTTTGCCTTCACGATCTGCTTATGTCACGAAACGGGTATGGTCATGTTTATTCGGCTTACAACCGAATGTTGATAATAAAGGAATAAAAAACGAGAGTAGAGTGGCGTGGTTGGAACATCGACGATGATCTTACGTTCGAAGAATAGGCTTTGCAAGTCGTCACTGTGGAATTTACAGATGTCAATCGAAATTGATAACTCTTCGATTGCGACTTTAAAACCGTAGTGATCTTATCTGAGCGACGATAATGCGATTATATGGAGTCTATGGAGACTTTATTCGCTTACGTAACCGATTGAAAAATCTGGTGAGTCTAAGCCAGAAACTTTGACTGAAATTGCTCGAAAATACCGATTGTTTCAATGTAGAAGCGAATTGTTCCAAGTGCAACCGATATTGAAAGGAAACGCAGTATTTATATAATGGAAAGGGGAGCAAACACGCGGATAAGCTTTGTTAGATACAGTAATTAAACCAGTAATTAAACTAAAAGGCAGCTGATTACTTCAATAGGACTGGATTGCTCGTTCTTCTTCCGAGACATCGCAAATGATTCATCGAAGCTGTCTGGAAAAGATCAATGAGGAATCTAATTGGTGCTCAGAACCAGGAGAATCGATCATAGCAAAGATTGAAGATCGAAACACTATCGTAGATACATTACAATATTGCAAAGTTCGGTCATCGATTATTTCTAAGCCGTCTTATTACGACGTCATAAAATCAGATGACATTTCACTGTTACCATTGTTCTGCAAGCCTGGATCAGAGGGTGATCTAAATATCCATCCTAGGAACAGTACGATTGTCTTGTATCAGAGAAGAGGCCATAATACTTTTTTCTGGGAATGCGTAGGAACAATAAAAAATCAATTTCTGAGTAGTATGAAATCAGTAATCTGGAACACGAGAATTACTTCATGCATGAAGTAAAAATACAACTATATTAGTTACGAAAGTATAGAATAAGAGTGAAATGAATATTTTTCAGACTCTAAATTCTTCCGAAAGATAATACGATTTAATATTATAATATCCAGTTTTCATGTAAAGTTTATCATTTATGTCCGTGTACTTTTATTTTGTCCAAAAAAAATAATAATCGCGATTTAGAAAATGCCAAAATTTAATCCCTGGGATCTTGATGTGTCGTAACGCAATTGTCAACGTTGGCACGCGTCCGAATTCCTTTAAACTCATTATCATTAAACGGATAAGCGAGAGCCGAATAAAATTGATTCACTGGCGCCCGCGCGTAGGGTTAAGAGGGTATTATAACAAGATTATACGAAGCGGAGAGAAGGCTGAATGGGTCCTTGACATGATTAACTCTTGTTGTAGGTGGACCATGTTTCGACACGCTCACGTTGATCCTGCTCGTTGTTCCACAGACTGATCCTTTCGTTTTCATTTTGTAGCAAACAAATTAGCCAGTTTACGGTGTAACACAATTTCGATATTGATCCTGTTCCTTACACGATACTTGAACACGCATGCTTAATGTTAAAACTCCTTTTAAGATTAAAAGGTTCTTGAAATAACACAATTTTGAAGTGAATATGATTTTTTCCATTTCTTTCTCTGAATTTTTTGTTATCTATTTTATTATTATTTTATCTGTCTATGGTGCGTATGACATTTTTCAGAGATATTTGTGTCCATTGTGAAGCACAATTATATAAAGATATAAATAGAAAAAGGAGTGAAACCTGTTGTAATAGGTTTGTGTATAGATGCATCGGTAATATTGATTTTTACAGTTGTACAATCCGCGAAATGACACCTTTGTCATATAACAGGTAGGAAGAATTCTTAAGAAGCGAAGGACTTTCGCGTGATGGCCAGTTACTCGCGATAGAAAATTACGAAACACTTTGTTTCAAGGGTGGGAACAAACTTCGTTTGTTCTATAGAAGGCACTCGATATGTCTAATGTCGAAACAGAAGTGACATACATACTTCCTGAACATATGCTCCATTCTCACTACGCAAAGTATATGTAACTACTGTAATTTAATATCACTCGCAATTATTATTCTTCTAATCATCCCGGCAATTGCTTAGAAATTGTACCCCTAATAGAAGAATTATTATTCAGCTATATTTCAACCTTATCTGCTATTCATTTTCCTATCTTACACATACTAGCTTAATAATAAATTTATAGCATTAATATGTAAGTACATTGTTTCTCTTCTTTTGTACGTCTACCTGACTAACCTGTCTTGTAATTTTTATGATTCTTTAGTTTCTAAATTTCTTCGTTCCTTCCCAATACCTTAATCTTAAATTTATTACATTTTTCAATGTCTTCTCTTCCTTCTACAATTATAAATTATTTTCTGTTTGTTTCTAAGTAATAGAAATTTTCGGTACCACAACGTAGGAATGTATAAGTTACTCTATTAACGTTTTTCGTTTATCGAATCTTTTTACATAATTTCATCGGCTAGTCCTTAACAGATTTAAACGCAAATTGTAATCTAAACGATCCCTCACCCTCAGAACTCGATTTAAAAAATACAGAACTTCGCACATATTTCTCAAGGCCCACCGTAGATAAAGAATCTCTCGTAACGTGAGTCGAGCAGAGCAGTACTCGTAAACCAAACGAGTTTCAGCTTATCTCGCGAAGGTCTGGGTTAGGCGTGCGCCAACAGAGCGCGGCCTTGCCGATTTGACAATGCCGATACTATACGATGGACCAAGTTGCCAAAAATGGGGGCACGTTTAAAAATCTGGCGCCAGGGTGAATTGCATCACCTTTCGTTAAAGTCGTTCCGGCTTTACATGTACTACCTACCTACAACGTTTCAACTGTCGAATAGTGGATCTCTCAGCTAGTCAAGGAGCAATGCGTTAATCTTCGTTTACACGCGACGTAGACGAAGGATTGCTTAATTGTGCCGCGTGAATTATTCAACCAACAATCGAAAGCCTTATGTGCGTCGATCTTAAGCCCAGGCCCAATGAGGCAATTCAGAAGGCACTAAACCTCGCGAACAATGCCGCTTCTCGAATCACTTAACGAGAAATTGTAATTTCCGCTGATGAGATTTAACATTATGTAGTTTGAAAATACCGTGACCATTTTGAAGCATTAAATTAGTAGTAAAAATGGTGAAAGTTAAAATGCTTGGCTCTGGCCTTTATATCGTACGGGGTGTCCATGAAAAAGATCCTTCAGAATGGTGATAGAGGGGATGAAACGACAACATGTCCTACTAATATCGTGCCGAATATATGAATATATTGGTTAAGAAGCTGTCAAATCAATTAACGTCATCTAGAGTGTTATGAACTAATTAATTTATACAAACAAGGCTAAGAATCAGGAGGAGTTGTATAATTCTGCACTATATACATTGCAAAGAATGATTGATAGATCTAGAGAGAAACGGCAGAGTTATCTAACGAAAATTTTTTGGAAGTTAAAAGATTAGTATTTAAAATTTCGTAGTAATTTTGTTAACAAAATGATGATTCATAAACCTGAATATCTTGACGCAGAGGTGGAATGGCGTTTTCCATGCCCTGGGACGGAATGCTTTCCTTGGAACTGTTGGAGAAAGGAGGAATGCTCTTAGCTACTATTCAACCTGGCTGACTAATCGAACGATTGAATGTCGAAGAAATTTAGAATCGAGTCCATCTCACGGATCAGTAATACAATACGATGTCAATTCCACTTGCTGAGTAAGTATCTTGCGAAGTTGCTTGCATTCGAACTAGGACCTACGTAATGGCATGGAGAATGTGTCATAGTTCTAAAAACAAATGAACATTTGCACGATACTCAGAATTCTATTATATTCCAATCTTCGATCGAATATTTCATGACAAAATTGTCGTAAATAATTTTTTTCTAATTTTTGTTATTTTATGTCTATGACAATTATCGATGATGATTCATACTCCATGATAAAACACACATAAGAAACAATTCTCAAACGAAGTCGTCCAATCAGCCGCCTTCTCCTTTCAAACGTCAATTCCCTCGGTCAAACTTTTTTTTGCCAACTATCGAGACCATTCCCTAAGGCCATCCTATTACAGACATAGCCCGCAGCGTCATCGAACGGCAGCAATTAAGAATTTAAAAAATAAAGATCAACCAGACCAATCTACATACATCAGAGTCTCTGTTGGTTTCACCCGTGCAATTTAAATAATCGCCGTCCACGCTCCTGTCTTTTTTATCATATATCTAGAAAGTCGTTCTAAACGCTTCGTTATTGAACTGTTTGCACCCACATGCGAGCGAAGGGATGTGCTCATTCTAGTCATAATAAAATACAAATTAATTGTCAGTAAACGCATAGCATACAAGCATATAAGATTAACTTATTGAATTAACGGCAGATTTGCTATGATCGCTAGATTATTGGACACAATAATAAGAGGGTAAACCAGATAATTGGCAATTTAATGACTGAGTAATTTTGTTGATCGTTGAATTTATGTACAGCTGTAGATCAAGGTGACTTATTGACAGTGGTGTTCTGTGAAGCATACCGATTGACCGTGGCAGTAGTTCGACCATGACGAACCATTCTACAGGAGTATCAGAGAACTGCGAATGTGTAACGCGATCGTAAATTAGGTAAGTTGTATCATGGAAGGTAAAAATTTTATGGAATATCTGAATGTAGAATAGAAAGTAAATTTGCACATATGATATGCTAATGCGAATTCGGTGATCGTCATTAAACATAACGTAGTACTTTTTAAGAAAAGCTGTGAACTCTTTACAAACTCTATTGATGCTCAATAGATTGATTAATCCGCAAAATACGTGAATGATATTACAAACGATTGCATACCATAGCATATTTTATCGCGATGGCGACGGTAGGGTCATCATGTACATACCACCTTGAAATTCGAAAAAGAGCCAGCGGATTAATGAAAATCGGATGAAACTTGTGTTACCGCCCTGAATAAAATTCCAAGTTTTTATCTCCTCATATTTCTGTCAATGAGCCGGTCTCAATCTCCGAAACATGTTTGCTTTAACACCCGATTGAATTTACGAGCTCTCTGTATCGTTTACACTCGGTATACAAGCTGGTTACTTGCAACGTGCAATGTAGTTGAATAACACGAAGAATTGCGAGTTTTAATTTTAGTACACATACTGGTTCTCCATGAACGAAATAAAGGACGTCGTATGGCATGTAATTTGACAGTGAGTGCAACTTTGGGTAAGGAATCTGACGAAAAAATAAATTGCAACTTTCCAACAAAGACAAAGTTGATAAAGTTCATTTCATATATAACAATTATATACAATACGTATATACAATTTCGTACGTTCGAAAAAATTGTGCTTCGAGCTTTAAGAGAATCTCTTCTCTGTGAAAAGCATAAATTATTAATTAAAAAATCGTTATTCGTCCGATTCGACGTTCGCAGATGTGAGAATGAAAAGAACGCAAAATATTCTTTGTTACAAATGGACACAAGTGTCCACACATTTTGTCAACTTGAACTTTCGCCATTCATCTGCAGCTATTGTTCCTTAATGGTGCCTACTCCCTTACCAAAACGGTGGACGATGCTTCACAGTATCGTAACTTCATGAATTATGCAAATGTGCACATCGTACCGCATAAAGTTTCGACTAAACGATCTGATTTATGATCCTCCGTCCTATAAAATGTTCGATCAAATTAAATTTTGAACCGTGTCGCGAATGATCAATCTCAGTTTTCTGGAAAACTGACCCATTCCATTAAATTCCCAGCCTAAATTGCTGGAAGATCTAAGTTGCTAAGAAGCACTTGATTTACTTGGTAACAGTAGACAACACCGATTGCACTACATTTTGGACGAGTTTACGGATAAGGCCAGCGAATTCTCAGCTGACGCATCTATTTGTAGTTAGTACACGTCTCTATTTAAGTGGCAGTTCTGTCACAACTGTTTCCAGGAAGAGTTCTATAACATTTATCTCATTTAATAAAGAAAAGATAATATTTTCAAAAATTTTCGTATATTCTCCGATTGATTACTGAATTATAGCATTGCTGAATTTAAAAAGGTTCGAAAATGTCACCTTTGACATCGCAAAATGAAATTTTTCGTTCGAAAAATTCCACTCAGTATGATTTATTACTCTGTTTACTACTTTTTTTACATTCTTATGTGGATAGACTGTTCGTCAAACTGTTACACTTTTACTTCCGTGATCTATAGAAAGTCACGGGGAAGATCGGCATCGTTTTTCGATATCACGATCGAACGTGGACTTGACGTCACCGTGACTGCTAGCTACAAGTTCACTCTCGTTCCAGACTCCTTTGTGATTTCTAAGCGAACTAAAGACGTAATGTGTGTGTTTCGAGACAACTTTCTTTCCTGTCTACGATCCTTATTGAAAACTGGATTCCTCCCGCGTGGTTTTATTTTCTTTCCTTTTTAGCGTGGGCCGTTAACGCGGGCTAACGCCGATTAAATTCGGGAACGTCGCATTTCCCGCTCGAATCTTTTCTGCGTAATCTTTCTAACTAATCGATATTAAAGAAACAAAATGAAATTGGCTCAAGAAAAGGAAGAATCGTGCAGTCTTGTATAGTGAAATAACTATGTAGGCTGTTTTTTTTTTTAGGCTTCTGAGTACAAACTTAGAGAAATAATGAAGCCAAAATCAATTTCTTTTGGAATGAAATATCATTTTATAGTTGCAAGCAACTTATCTCGTGATGATGTAAATTATGAAACGATTTCTTGATACAAAGAATTTTGGCAGTATTATTCAAATCGCTTAGGTAACTCAAGTATGTCTTTCATCGATAAAACATTATCAGCCAAATGTCATATCGTTCATGAGATCATATCCGACAAAATTTATGACACACAAAGATTTAAAAAGATTGCGTGTTCGCGAGTTACGAATACCCAATGACAGTGAAATTGTTCTTTCTCCTTTCTCGTTCGTCCGATGATCTGAACGAAACGATCACTAGATCACGAACGTAATTTCAGGCGAACGATTCAAGGCCCGGTATCCCTTCCCAGCGAATAAATCTACAATAGTTCAAATTGCGTGTGACGTAAGACGGGCGCGCGATTACTTTTAAATGACTTTGCGAAAACGAAGCTTTTGTGGCGGCGTTGGTTAAAATAACACGGATTAACACCGATAGCACGATATAGGATGAATAGAATGAGTTGATTAATGGTCAAGTAACAATGATAGAAAGAGAAACTACAATATGGTTTCGTAAAGAAGACCGCGGTGCTCTGTTAAAAGTAACGAGCAAGAAAGATCCCTCGTCATACCGAGTAAAATTGTAAAATACTTCAAATAAGTAACGATTACATCGCACGTGTTCTTCTCGAAATATTTTGACATGTGAAATTTTATGCGATTTATTCTTTGCGAAACGATCTTTCCCGAAAAATACTATAAATAAAATTCGCTCGTGTGGAATATGGCGCCTAAGTTACGCTTTTATTGGAGATTTTATTGAAGAATCAAAGCAATAAAAATAAAGGAACGATATTCCGTGTTCTAAGTGTCAGTAAAATCAAAGTAAATTTGACTTCACTACTTTTTAACCTCGTGCATGCAAAAATTTCCATAGGATACCTATTACAAAAAAAATCTTACACTTCCATATTCATTTATATTTCCATATTTCCTTCGTCTTTGAAAAAGCACGCGATGTTTCACAGCTTTGGATGTTTAACGACTTCCCTATTGCCGCTAATATTCAACGGATTCGGCTGACGAAAATATTTACTCGATATTTATGCGCGTGCCTGTGGCAGCGCCGAAAGCAACCCGCAGCTGTAGGAATGGGGTGCCATGGGCCAGCAGCGTATGATGTAATTCTGGAGAAAGTGGAGGCAGAGAACATGGGTCTTACGAGCGGACATCTTGGGTGCTACCAACGCTGGAATGCGAAAAAGCGAAATGCGTTCGGAGGTGGATCACGGATCGATTACGTAAACCGATTTCGGCCGTGTGTATAGCAGGCGACGATTTAATAAGGTGAAGTTACGCGAGGACGAGAATGGATCTGTTCCCTTGTAATTGAAGAACCATGTAAAGGAAACGAAATCTCCAGTGAAATTAGTTCGCTGTCTTTGTTACTTCTTTTTTACTTTTTTCTTTCCGGATTAAGTATCGTTAATGAGTAGCTGGTGTCTATTCATATTTGTAAATGGTGTAAATTCATATTTTTATGGACAAGAATTTTTTCACTCGTTAAATGATATAACGAGTAATTTATTTTGCACGTTTTGTATATTTTTGTTTATTATTGGCACTCTATGCATCTTGTGCATTTATGCAAATTTTAATTATCTAAAAGTTCATCAACACTCATGGTCTACTGATCAGATTGTAACGAGTAGAAAAGATAGAAAAAGTGACAAACTTACCAGCTTCGAAAAGCTTGTGAAAAGTCTGGCGCGATAAATATTTGTTTACTGTAATTACTGCTTCCTCGAATATGCACGAATTCTTAAATTTAATGTTCTACATTGCAAAATATCTAAAGTTTATAAGAAAATTGCAGATTGCAAATATTTCTAATTCATGGAAAGTAGAAACAGTCAGATTGAATTCTAATGCTTTCCTTGACTCGTGTTTCACACGGAAATAACGGAAGAAGAAATTCTTGACGTTGAAAGAAGGTACATTCTGCGACGATGAGACCTAATAATTTCGCAACTCGCGTCCTTCGAGTGCGTAACACCGTTATGAAAAAAAATGACTTATTAAAAAACCTTCGTCCTTCCTCTTCAAATCTAATTGCTTCCTTTAAAGCTACGTCCTTGCACATATGAAATTGCAGCCACCTACGACTCAAATTGCGAAATACGAAAATTGCTTTTAATTGTCCGCTTGTCTGTAAAATTTATCATAACTTATTTGTACGAAATTCTTTCCATTTATTTTTTCATCTTCGTATTTATGGCAAGAAATTTGAGGAATTTATAATTGGTTTTAATTAAGATACATTCGGTTTGGCGATAAATTTAGTAATAATTCCTTGATGAACGATAAGCGAAAATTATGCCATACGTCACAGCCATTGTAATGAATTTACGTTCAAATGATTCCTCTTCACCTTTCTCTAGCAAACGCAATTAAGGTCTATACACGTTCCTTAATGTGGTACGTAATACGTGACATTTCAGAAAATGCAGAATTTTCCATAATATTTATATATTCGGAGGTCGTGTAAATATAAATCAATCGGTAACCAGTTTGCGTTCATTTTCGATTACCTAATATACTTTAAAGGGTAATCGTAATTTAGTTCCTTTCGAGTCATTTAGAATTGCATTTAATCAAGAATACGATTTTTAAGCTTCTTTTTCAAATCTAAATGTATCATGCTCGACTTATTTATTATAGTTATTTAGTTTATCGTTGATCCGCATTTATAAAATAATTCATTCTTATGTGGAAAATGAAAATTCTGCATTATGATATGGAACATAAGTAGGATCGAATATGTATAATAATCGTCGTGCATTACAAGGCAAGTATATTTATACACTGTAAATTATTCCGTGAAATTCTTGTTTGATTGCGTCATCGAAGGAGTTGTCAGGACCTTGACAATGCAGAATCGTCCACAGTGT